GTACGTATTAGACGGAATTTCTACTTTTCTGTCTGCGTGTTTCTCTGACTGCCTATGTATATATATCTCTCGCTTCCTATTACTGTGTAATATATACTCACTCATACACACACAGGTATCCATGCTGATGGCTAGAAGTGTATATTTTCATTAAAACTAAATAGTCATATTATTATCATTATTATCTGAACAATGAACTGTTTTCTTAATTTACTATCGTTCACAACAGACAATATTGTACTCACAATCGTAAAACTCTCGCCGACCATGCACATGGTCCGGGGTTCGAGCACACGCCGACGCACACCCGATATCTATGGTCGGCCTGCGAATTTTGGGCTACCGATATCCACGCTGAAAATTCCACACTTGTACCAAAAATACAGTGTGGAATCAAGCTGTAAATAAATATATATATATATATATATATATCCATGATTTGTAGTCATATTACCTTTATTACTTACCTCTACATAACGCAACATACACTTCGTTGTATACAGACACAGGAAATAGAGATTACGGGTTGAAGAGATATTTACATCAATGATAACAGCATCAAGTGAATGGGGATAACAATTAGAATGTAGCAGCCTATGTGTACTGAGGAGACAGGCGACAGAAAATGACGATAATAATACTAATACTAGTAAGTATTTATTATTATTATTATTATACATGATTCAACAATAATTAAACATTTGGAGATAATCTTCACCTTGTGACTTCTGTTGCCTTACTTACTCTCAGCAAAACGTGTACTAGTTATCTGCCTATCTGTCCATCTGTCTACCAGTGTGTGTATATTGAGACAGTAATTTTTCTGGAAAATAACCAACGATGAGCCAGTGAATACTCGTCAACAAGCAAACAATACGGCTATAAACGAAAGTCCATGGAAAAAACAAACGATTCTTTCATTGTTCTCTCCAACATAAATATATCTATTTCAAGAAATTGTGTGATGATAAAATTTAGACATGATAAAAGCAAATTTATTGTGTTTGTTTTACTGGAGAGATAGGAAATAACTTGTCAAATTTTTGATAGTGTATTGATTTATTCTCCCTGCCTAGACAATAAAATATGGTATGATTTTTGTGATAGTATCCTTCTCTCTATCTGTTTGTCTGGTGACTAGCAGTGGTGGAACTCAGCGCACGCATTTCGTCCTATTTGCGACTCATCAACCTCTGGGTGTACCTTCATTTCCTAGTGAGTGATGGCGTTCCGTGAACTGAGGCTCGAACCCAGTACACCCAAAAGTTTCAAACACGCGAAAGCGTTATCCACTAGACAAAATTGGGAGACGAAAGCCACCACATCCTGTGCAATGACTGTCAGTTATCAAAAATTTATTTTTAATTCACTTCCTGGAGTATCAGTTTCTACGGATTTGGTTAACTGGTTTGACATCGGTTAGAGAAGCATTAGAAAACCGGCTGGAAGTAATAGACAACTGTTTCATCCCAGTTTGGGACTTTACAGAAGTTAGAATTCGTGACCAGTGGAACACAGCTGGTCGGCTTCGACGACAACAAATAACGAAAAGTCAAATACTTTTTGCCTTAACATCGAGTTGATTCGGTTTCTCTATCACTTTTTAGCTCCACGTTTACTTTAGTGACGTGAAGGACGCACTGAAAAGTATCCTTCCCCTAGCAGGTTGTTAGAATACGCAGTTTTAGACACCAGAAGGCGCCTATGAGAAAGACTAATTACAACCTTGAGGAACTTAAACTTTGCAATCCTTCTCCCAATGAACAAACTGCTAAGACCTCCATTTATTTTCCTTTATACATCCTTATTCCGTGGGAAGAACTTTCATACGGACCACAGAGTTCCCTGGGTAAGCGGATCGTGATTAAGTAAACCAGCTAACTCGAGGTGAACGGAATACCCACGCTGAGGGCGAAAAGGATGTTGTGGATGAATAAATTGAGCGAATCCTTCCATTTAGCATCGTCGGCTGATATCAAAGAGATGGATAGCTGACACGCCGTGGTTCCATCCCGTCCACATCCTAGTAGCTACGAAAGCTCCTCCAAGACCATCTATTCGAACTGCCGTCCATGGTCTCCTGACACAGTACCACCCAATCTACCATTAGTTCTCGGCAAATGGTGCATGCTGTGGTATGCGTCATGAGAAAAGCCCCTGGTTAACAAGTAAAGCGATTCACGTGTGTAGGTGAGCTCAAGTGACCATTGGGGAGAGGCGTAGTTCACCACCGATGCCAAGGTCAACTTGGCTAGAATGTGTATCAGGTGTAACGATTGATCCATTTGGACAGACTCTTTCTTGTGCATTTTTGAGGGATGGTATAGCACACATGAAGGTGTCGTGTTTCGGGCAGATCTTTAGGTGACTGTGGACATGTCGCGGAGCGTAGTCCCTAGTTATTGACAAGAGGCACACGATTCACCTTCAGGTAAGCGTAATCATAATTTTTTCCTCACCCATATCGATAATAGCCGCAGGAACCACCATGGTGCTCACATTAGATGACGTATGAGCAGTAGGTTTGTTCTCAACGGAAACATTATGGATGTCCGACTACAATTACAAGACTTATCCTAAACGACATAATTCAAACTGTAATATCTACTACTGGCAGTGTGGTGGGTGTAAGTTAAACTGTGAAAATAACGGAAGTTTAGTAACTGATCACTACGTCAAAGTAATTACGAAAACATGTATCATCACAGAAACAAGCTATGAAGTTTCAAAAGCATACTGTTTAGCATCTGCATGAGGAAAGATAATCAAAAACACGGTAAGGCATTCACCATTCTCAATATCATTCACCAGAGAAAGAGAAAGACCCCTATCCTATCACTCCCTCAGTCCTTCTGAATTCCTCAGTTACAAATCGCATCTAAGTGAATACACAGCACCAAGTAGAAGGTACCTTTCATCAACCTCCCTCTAAAAACAACTTCCCTTATAACGTCCCTTTGATTAACCTTCCTTTAAAACCCAATATACACATAGATTTCCATGGAGTGCATCTGTTATCACTCGGCGAATACAGACTTCGGCATGGCTAGAATTATGACGTCAGGTGATAACCTGTTTCTTCAAATCTCCGAATATACGTAGTACATCTATGCGAATCAAGTGTTAATGTTGTTCACAGACCATTTTACGAAATTTTGATAATACTGTCATTTGGAAACCAATTTTATCTCCCCATATTTTATTGAATTCCCTGCATCATCCTGTTACCAGTCACTTCACGGCTTGTGCATCCTCTCTACCAGGCAATAGTTAATAGCTAAAAATTAGCCATGCTGTCAAGCGCATATTCTCGACAAACAGCCGGCATGGCTTCCCAGATCGCACCTTTCCGGCCTACATAATATAATGTCGTGCTACTAATAACATACTGACTTCAAGCAGTGATTTTTATGTGGACCTACTGTTCGCTGTGCTAGTGCCGTGGCTACGTATCTCGCTAGAAGATGACTTCCTGGTAGGTTCCATTTGACTGCCTGTAGATTGTATACCCGAACAGTGACTGTCAAGTACATGATCAGAGTCTATGCAATTGTCTCAAAAGAAGCAATAGAATGTAGCCGGTCCCCGACATCAACAGCTTATCTCTATGTGGTTTATTTTAGCCAACCGTCGATTTGATGATGCATGTCGCCAAGTCAAGAAATGTCTCCCTTTGTGTTTAAAGTTAGCGCAGACCAGGAACAGTTCACCGACATGGAACTGGACAGATGATTCTGACGGAAGTAATCTTTTGTTTCATCTGAATTGCAGTATGATAACAGGAGAGGTGTTAGCGGAGGCTACGGAAATACATCGATGGGTGCTATATTCATCCCTTCTTATAATATACATGGTCAGCTGGACAGCTAACATGCGGCTATACACACTGAGATTCAGTCAAGTAGGGATTTCTTTTTGCTAGCACTCAAGGCTATCCCTACACCTGAGAATGCTCGTGAACTAATCGAAGAATCTCCTCACACCAGCAAAGTGAATTTTACAGACTCACCCTATTGGACATGTGAGACTATTTGAATCACCACATCAAACAGCCATGCCTCAAGATGCCACAGTACTGGCTAGTGATGCCTGTTGTCCAATTTAGCAAAGCCTTCCTCTGACATTAAATTCCCCAACATACAGTTGACAGAATAGTTAGTTCTAAGAGAATAATCACAGCAGTATTTCCCCACCTGTCATCGCTACTGTTAGTCGCAGAAATACCAGGAAATGAAGAACCAGTCAATCAGTGAAATAATAATATTAACAACAGATAGGAGAGGAAATAAAAATAATGAAGGTGGGTAACTTTTGGAAGTATGTAGTCAGTTAATATTTCAGACTGTCAACATCCGTAATTTCCTAGGGGTATGGGGCTCAACTTAATCCAGACGAACGCCGCGTGCGTGCGTGCGTGGGCGGTTGATAATTTCCGATTACTCACCCTGCTTATCTATATAGAAGTCTAAACAGTTTTGTGTAACACGGAAGAGTCTAAGGAGACAAGTGCTTTAGAAGCCTCTCTTACACACGCACACACAGATGCGCGCACGACCTGTTTCAAACAGTTTTTACAACTGAATTCTCCTACCTTATCACCCACCCACCCCCCCACACACACACACGAGTGGAAATCGTCCTCCTCCACGGCCTGATGTTTTCATCAGCATCACCATCAAACAAAAGGGAGCAAAAGAACATACAACAAGTCAGTAAACAAAACAAAAAAGTAGAGAAAATTGATCAAGACTGACAATTATGCATTTTTATTCATTTTCAATGGAACATTCATCATTATAACAGAATTATGATTATTCATTATTAAAACTGAAGTTGTGGTGATATTTAATAACTACCGATGGGTAATAGGTAATAGGAAATAACAGAAGAGAGAAACAATTACAATTACAAAAACTGATGAACACAATTAAATTATTAAATGCACTGATAGTCAATTTACAGTCAGTCACACACATTAAAGGGTTAAAAATGGAAATAAACTAATTCGATGCCTCCTGTTTCATCGCGTTGACTGCCTCCTCTGCCGCTGTCGCTGCCTGCTCTTCTTCCTCCTTCTTAACTGACTCATCCATCTTCACAGAAGGAGGTGTAGTAGTCGTAGTATTAGAAGTAGTACCACCAACAGCGTCAGCGGCAGCAGAAGAAGCGGCGGTAGTAGTCTCGGTGGTTGCAGTATCACCATCAGCAGGAGTTTCGTCAGTTGTATCTCCAACCAATTCCATTGCACTTTTTCTTTTCGCTACAATGACATCCTCCGGCAGAGTGAATAATTTAATCAAATTCTAGGTGGCAGAAAGGAGAAAAAAGAAGAAGAAGAGAGAAAGAAACATTCAGATAACGTTGGCAGATCCACTTCGATCAGGTGAATGATCAAACACGTTGGATGTGGAGTGGGGGCGAGATGAAAAGACTTCAGATCACATAGGTGTTGCACAAAAGATTGTTTTTGTAGGGGCAAGTGGGAATAAACCTATTGACGTTTTGAAGTGATCATACTATTCAATGACGATCACACACACACACACATGGATTTATTTTTATTTATTTATTTTATTTTGATTTATAGCTTGATTCCACACAGTATGGAATTTTTAGCATGTGATACCGGTAGCCAAATTTTGCAGGCCGACCACCAATTGATGATATCAGGTGTGCATGCGTCGGCAAGGGACCGAACCCCAGACCATGCATAGCATGTTCGGCGAGAGTCCTAACCACTGTGCTGCTACCAACACACAGTGATATTTTTCGTTGGTTGAGTATCTTTATCAAACCTTTGTCTTCTCTATGTTCATCACTCGAAGTCTTCGCTGTCTTTGCTGCTTGTACTATCCAGCTTGTTAGTTTTCATCCAGTAGATAGTAGAGTTTATTGTGTGACATGACATGATACAAATCATCCGCGAAGTTCAGGTCTTCGCGGTGTATTCTTGCTCGTGCTACGGTGTATTTTCTCAACACCAGTCTACTTAGTTCAAATGAACTGTCGTCAAAATTTTACAGAACAGTTCTGTCAAATCTTGAAGACAGTTCATTTGAATTATTTTGCAATCGAATTAAATTAACAAAGAAACTATGAAATTGGCACAATCATCGTGTTTCCACACTCCGTCGTCTGCAACAGAATAATGCATATCCTAAATCCGTAGCTGTCGAGTCACCTGACAACTCTCCAGTAGGTCGATGACAGTCTAGGGGAGATGGCTAAACCCTGATTCCAAACCTCCAACGACTGGCGTATGAAGCTCACCGGAGTTCACCGGCAGACGTATGGACAAAGAGCTTATTGGATGCCCTGGATGTCTGGCCCCATTCAAAAAGGCGTATGAACCGGACTCCGGTCACCGGCTGCCAATGGATAGTGGACTCCCTACTCCACTCCTACTGCCTTGTAGGTCACACTTGGCTGTGTAAAGGCTAGAGCTGCACTCTCAAACAAAAGGCCGAGCGATGCTGGGGACATCACTCGTACTCAATTCCCATGAAACTTCATCAACTCTCTTACAAACATTCGAGATGTTCATGAAGCCGGTTCATCCTCCCGTAGGAGATAGCCGAAGTAAAGTAAGTAAGGTCGAATAAAGTAGCTCAATCTTCAGAAAGAAGACAAAGCAATAAGTCTGACAGGGTGCTTCAACTAAACTCTAATCCTAAACACCATAATTTTGAAAATGTTCATCTAATCATAAAATTCTAGATACTAACAGTTTGAACGGACGTGAAGGTGTGATGTGTGTTAGCTGATGCATAGGAAATCCTGAATAATAAATAAAATGGATATGTATCACTAATTAATTAATAATACTTGGTCAAAATTTCGTGACTGTCTACATCTTCTTATGGAGACGTTAAGAAATGTCTTTACAACTGTTTACCCACACACACACATACACACACACACTGTGTTTAAAGTGTTCAACAAAGGTAGATCAATATTTGTAAATTTGAACAAGGCATTAAGAAGACAAATTTCGCGAGATGATATCATTTCGTAGTTTCTTTACAACCGCTTCACAACTAACATGGTTAACAATGATAAAATAAAGTTCATGAAAATTACTCAGTTAAATAAAAACAATATTTGTAAGTCTGAGGTCAAATTTTGATCACAACTCATACAATTTTGTTTATTATAATTGTTAATACTTGTTTTATGACTCATGATTGGACAAAGTTGTTTTTAAAAACAAGAAATGCTCCTTATTGAATTGAATTTTTGATTTTCCCGTCGATTGATTGGACCGAAGTGCTCGGTCTCAGGTTGACATGAGACTGAGACCGAGCACTTCGGTCCAATCAATCGACGGGAAAATCAAAAAATCAATTCAATAATTAATATGACCCGTCGCACAAGAGGTGGCTTTCGTGGCCCAAGTGGTCTAGTGGATAACGCTTTGGCGTTTGAAACTATGGGTACTGGGTTCGAGCCTCAGTGGGAACATCATCACTCACTGAGAAATGCAGGTACATCCAGCTGACGAGTCCCAAATAGGACGAAATGCGCATCCTGGATTCCACTGCTAGCCACCATCCACCAATTGTATAAGAAATGTTCCTTTTCTGCATATACACCTCTGTTATGTTAATTTCGATTTATTTCCCTGAAGAAGTTCGGACCAGATTGACTAAACAACGGGTTGATCCCTGATGAAATCTCAGCACGGACACAAAGGAGCTCGTTTCGTATTTGCCAGTTTACGCCGTCTCTGCCGCAGACGAGATATCCGGCTGGCTATCGACCAAAAGGCGGGTGTACTGCTCATCAGTCCGCTCCGTCCTCCTTTATGACTGTGGGTGAGACATGGCCATTGAGAGTGGAAGACATGAAAAGGCTAGTTAGCTGTGTTTGATCATAGGTGCCTGCGTTCTATCTCCCGAGTATGTTGAGTGGTATAATAAGGTGAGCAATATTGAGGTTAGGCGTCGAGTTCTAGGTAAACAGGGGAAATCAATCGACGAAGTTGTGAAGTTACAAAGACTGCGATAGTTAGGACATGTGTTACATATGCCTAATCATCGCCTTCCTCGACAACGGGCAGTGTTAGCCGATATAGGGTCAGGCTGAAAAAGAGGTAGCGGCGGTCAAACCAAAACATGGCTTCATCGTCAGTCAATGAAATACACAACAGTTAGTCTAAGCCACGTAGGAAGGTGTAAACTTTCCTGACTGGATGGGGTCATCGGGACGGTAAAAATCAGTGGTAGGAAACAATTGGTGAAATGGCTCAAAATCGTTCTCAGTGGCTGGCTGGCGCAGATACATCTACTCCTTGTGACGTGTGATTTCCAAAAAAAACTGTCTTGTTCTTCGTTATTATTCTACCTTTGTCTCACGCCTCTGCTTACTGTCTCTATTATGCATTTCTTGTACTTTCTTCTATTGCTTTGTGTGCTACAAGGAGGGAGTGTGGCGATTTGAACTGTTGCACATATGTGCAAAGTTCTATGTCGAAAACAGACAGATTGACGAACGCACGAAACGTTGGAATTATTCATTTCAAAATTCCTGAGATTTTACAAATACCTACTTAGTAATGCTGAACAACTGAAATCGAAGAAAAGAATTACACGGTTGTCCATTGTAATCAATCGCCTTGTGAACTTATTTCATCACAGAGGATGAATGGAAACTAAGAGAGCAAACGGCCATAGGCTAGGCTAACACACACAGATGGAGTGGTCGTCTTTTTTATCAACAAACTTGCAAGTTTGTCAGTCACGATTTTGTGTAGATATGCCCCAGAGAAGTGACAGTCAAAAACTGTATACAAGAACTGATGACTAGCTAGCTGGAAATCGATGTTTAACTGCTTTCCATAATTGTTACTGATAGACACAGCACCGTATTTCTTTTATCATTGTATTATTTGAACACAAACTGTCTGTTCGTCTGCCTGTTTCCGACATAGAACTTTGCACCAATTAGCGCCAGTTCAAGTCACTACACTCCCTCCATATAGCACACAGAGCAAGAGTAGAAAGTAGAAGAAATGCATAATACAGACAGGAAACAGAGGTGTGAGTTAAAGGAATAGTATTAACGAAGAACAATATAGTTTCACTGGAAATCATATGTCACAAGGAGTGGATGCGTCTGCGCCAGCCAGCCATCGAGAACGATTTTGAGCCATACCACCATTGATTGTCTCCAGCTTTCATTGGTTTTTACCGTCCCGAGGACCCCAACCAATCAGGAAGTCTACATCTTTCTACGTGGCTGGCTTAAACTAACTATTGTGGGTTTCATTGACTGACGATGAAGCCATGTTTTGGTTTGACCACCATGTGCTAGCTCTTTTCCAGCCTGATCCTATATCAGCTAACATTGCTCGTTGTCGAGGAAGGCGATGATTAGGAATACGTAACACATGTCCTAACCATGTCAGTCGATGTAACTGCTTCACAGCCTCGTCGATTGATCTCTCCTCCTACCTACCTACCACTCGATCGAAGCATAACCTAAATATTGCTCACCTTATTATACCACCCAACATACTCGGGAGATAGAACGCAGGCACCTATGATCAAACACAGCTAACTAGCCTTTTCATGTCTTCCACTCTCAATGGCCATGTCTCACCCACAGTCATAAAGGAGGACGGAGCGGACTGATGAGCAGTACACCCGCCCTTTGGTCGATAGCCGGATATGTCATCTACGCCAGAGAGGGCGTAAGCTGGCATATACAAAACTAGTCCTGTGTATCCTTGCTGAGATTTCGTTAGAGACCAACCTGTTGGCACTGGCTGATGGTATTTCCTAAATAAGTGAAGCGGTCAATGTGCTCTACCACTTCACTTCCATTTCTAATCTAGGAGGCGGTGTAGTCCAGTCCAGTCCTGTAACATCATCTTTCATCTGACAGATGGAGCGAATCACTCGCATGTCAAACATTCGTAGATTGCAGCTCAAGGTGTTTTTGGAAGACTCTGCTCTATTTTGTCAGCGTCCCTCACCTAGAAGGATTATATCACTATCTGCATATTCTAAGTCAACGAGATTATTCCCTCCCTGTTGGTAGCAAGCAAGTCAATCCCTGAGTCACTGAAGTCACTTAGGGTTAAGTCCATTAGTACAATATCTATGATGAAATTGAATAGAAATGGGGATATAGTGGGCATCCCTGGCTGTCGGACAGGACACCATTAGTCGTCACCGCTTCAGAGGACAACTCAAACTTGTAAAAAAAAAAACCTGATTAATATTCATAATTAATTGTTATCATGCAATTTTGTTATGAGGAATACAATAACAACAACTTACCATACATTCACGGAAAGCAATTCTATGATTCATTATCATCCATTTCTCTTTCCCTTCAGCATAGCCTTGTGAATTCTTTGTTGGTAAGTTAGGTGGTGGTGGTACAAATGCTTTACGGAAATGCCTTTTATAATCATTAAAACGTTGAATTTTACAACCACATATACATGAAGCAGTTTCCTTGCATTTACTCAGTTCCTATATATAAGAAAGAATAATAATAATAATAATATTATTATTCCCTCAGGTTTTGAGCAAAAAATCTGAATACCTTGAGGTCTTTTTTAGCCAACCCTACACACACCACTGCCTATAATCATCTCTCATCTCCTCCCCCACCCAATTAAACAGTCTCCTCTGTGTCACCCTCCAACCAAAGCGTACGTGACTCGTAATTCCCTCCAAATTCGGTTTTCACATTTTTAAGCAATGGCCTACACAATGCACACGGTATCTTTCGACGGTCTCTCTTCAGCTTGTGTGTGTGTGTGTGTGTGTGTGTATGTCACCCATCTCTATTTTATATGGGATATTCCTTTGCTGAGCGCCACAGGTTCTCTGGTTGGTTCGTTCTCAAAGTTTCTTGTTGATTACAGGATTTCATCATGAGCTGACATTGGTAAGAGAACCATTGAAAAAAATCTCGTCCTACTTCAGTAGTACGCACCCACCACAACGGTTCGAACCCAGGACCTTCTGGTTACAAGGCCAGCGAGTTCGTAGATCATTAATTCAGCCACTGGGACCCGACAATCCAATGGCCAGTCCATGAATTCTAACTTCTGCCAATTCACGACATACCGCGACCACCATAGCTCGCCTTGTAACCAGAAGGTCCTGGGTTCGAACCCTGGCGGTGGGTGTGTACTGCTAAAGAATACCAAACTAGGACGAAACAGATGTCCAATACTCAAGTGCTGGTTTTCAATGGTTCACCAACCAATGTCAGCTCATGATGAATTCCTGTAACAAATCAAATCCCTACAAACACAACACCTGAATTCCTTGTTAATAATTCTTTTCTGGTCAGCCATTCGATTTTTAGCATGAAGCCAGGGAAGATAGTTGTTGACACACAAGTGTTTTTCTGCAGTAGCCTAGTTTCTGGAGGATACAGAAGAACTGACTGACTGACTGACTTAACATTGGTGTTGATAATTAGAATTTTCTTGTTTATGCTGAGTGAAGAAGATTCCTAAACTGACTCTAAGAGTGACCGGGCCTTTCCAACTCCGGTTTTAACATATTCTCACCTGTGACGTCGTCTGCCTGTAGTTGAAACACCGCTTCCTAGATAAGCGAAGGAAGTGACTTCATTCAAATTTATCCCGTGGATAATGATTAATGTTTGTTGTTGGTCTTGTTGCTGGTTTATGTTCCCACCTGAAGTTCACTGCTCACCGTTTGCTTCTTCTGCGAAATTCGCATCTTCTACAGTCTTCTTATTAGTCAGTCCAATGTGTATTTCTGTTTTCTTGCTTGCCACAGTCTGATACACAATCCAATGTGGTTCATCACACATTTAGGAATATCACATCGATGATATAAGACGATAGCCTTGTCAAAAAATATACTAATCATAATACTAAGAAATACCTTCCAATGAGAAGAAAGGATGTCAGACCTCCTACAATCAAACACACAGCACTACCCTACTAGGACTAATGATGGAAAAATTGTCTATGATCTGAAAGATGTGAACATTGATGAATGGGGAAAAATGGTAAACAGAATTAAACCAGTTGACCAATGGTGGAGTGTGTTCTGGGAGCAGTGTGCTGCCATTTTTCAATGACATTAAAAAAAACCGACAGTCTCAAAATGCATAAAATTCTAAAACCAACAGGAAAATTAATGTCGATAACTGCAGTCGTCGTCGTCGTCGTCTTAGACACAAATTCACAATTTACACAGGTATCGAGGTGAAATGCCACCACCACCACCACCGTATCCACTAAAAATCAAAATTATTCTGATCACAGTTGATGTGATCTGCATTATATTCGATCGCGGATTGATATCAGTTAGAGAATCGTCAGAAACCAACTAGGCAGTAACTGGATAGGTGTTTCGTCCTAGTCTGGGGCTCTTCATTAGTACGCATCGCCCATCAGGATTTCAACCAAGGACGCACCAATTACAAAACCAGCAAATAGATGTCAATCCTTGCTTAAACTTGATCTGATGCGACCAGCCCTATTCAGACAGTGACCTGGGGTTCTAGCAGGAAGGCGTGAACAGTAGGGCACAGCAGGTTGAAGATGAGGCAGTGGCTCATCGAAGAAGACATTGCGAAATGGTCGCGCTATGTCGTGAATTGGAAGAAGTTAGAATGCATGGACTGGCCATTGGATTGGCGGGTCCCAGTGGCTGACGAATGGTCTACGAGCTCGCCTGGTAACCAGAAGGTCCTGGGTTCGAACCCTGGAGGTGGGTGCGTACTGCTGAAGAGCCCCAAACCAGGACGAAAAAGCTGTCCAGTACACTCAGGTCTTCCAGGGGTTCTCTAACTGATGTCAAGCTCATGATGAAATCCTCCATGCAAAAAACAAAACAAAACCTCCTGGTAGCACACCAATATCTTAAACTAACAACCAACCCAACCAGACAGACAGCTACTTATCAGCTTACCTTCAAGAAGTCTATGAGAGTAAGACAAGTCATCAATAATATTCTAGAAGACATGCGTCTAGAAGATGTGTGTCGTTGGTACAGAGGTTAGGACTCTCGCCGACCATGCTGTGCATGGTCCGGGGGTCGACCCTCTGCCGACGCACACCTGATATCTGTGGTCGGCCTGCGAAATTTGGGCTACCGATATCACATGCTGAAAATTCCATACTTGTACCAGAAATACAGTGTGGAATCAAGTTGTAATCAAAAATAATAAATAAATAAATAAAGATAGTCAATGCTTGTTTTTCAATTCCTTTACGTTCCCCACTGGAACATACGGCTTTAAGCTGGAGGCTTGAAGTTTCAATAGCAGTGGTGTTTATTTTCGCGGGATAGATAGAGTTGCTAGCAAGCCTCATATGCCCAACCTTCCCTACTAACCAGTCGTCTTATTAATGGGCTTATAGCAAGGTAAATGAGTACGTCGTCGGGCGGAGGGGCGGACATTCTACCGCCTGCTGCCTGTACCACCGTGTTGTACCATAATCAATGAGACAGGTTTTGGGGACAGGGGGGTGGCGGGAGAAGGACTCACCGTTTTATACTTATCTTTACAAACTCCCCAAAGATCCATTAACACATGGAAATATGATGATGATGATTTCAGTGGTATTTGAAGCTCCCAATCTGGATTCACATTTTTCTTGAATACTTCTTGATGACTAACACTATACAAATGCTTCTCCGAATTATCGACACCAGTTATATTTTCATTGCATAGGGAACAACGATAAGATCGTTTATCTCTTGACGATGCTGACACATCCAACTTTATTCAGGAGATGAAAATAAAGAAAGAAAATGGGGAAAACACGAGAGAAAAATAACAGATAGTGGATCATGATGTGAATGAAAAAAGGTTGAACAAAGTGGAAACATCAATTCACTTACTCTACAACAATATATGTATATATGTATATGCATACGTGACAATAATTACAGATAAACGGTGTTTGAAACGCATCGTTTTTGTGCGAAGCTGATGACGACGGGAGACATATCCAGTTGCTAGACTGTAGACAGCAGAACTATCTAAATAAAGACCACCCCCCTCCAAAGAGACAAACAAACATACGCACGCAATAACTGATAATTGGATGCTTTATAGCTTAAACAAGTGGGCAACAACTTCTCCGAATCCTACAGCGGAAGGGTTTACATAACTGTATTCAAAAGACTTTTAAATTAACCTTCTTTAAGGTATTTAACACAAGGATTCCATAATTATTATTATTATTTTTAATAATAATTTGTTTTCAGGATTTCATTATGAGCTGACATTAGTTAGAGAGCCATTGGAAAACCAGCACAGGAGTACTGGACAGCTGTTTCGTCCTAGTTTGGGACTCTTCAGTAGTAAGCACCCACCTCCAGGGTTCGAACCGAGGACCCTCTGGCTAAAAGGCGAGCTCGTATACCACTAAGCCACCGGGACCCGTGAATTCTAACTTCTGCCAATTCATGACATAGCACGATGCCAACCAATCAAATCCCCATAAACCAACACTTGAATAGCAATGGGATGCTCACTAGCGACTTGCTCTAATCAGGTAAGTAGTTACCCGGGGTTCCAGTGAGAAGTCATGACCAGTAGGGTGCAGCCGGTCGGGTGCGAGGACAAATACTTGCCGAAAACATTGGCTAGAGGTCACGCTATGTCGTGAATTGGCAAAAGTTAGAATTCACGGGCCATTGGATCGGGTCCCGGTGGCTTAATGGTATACGAGCTCGCCTTGTAACCAGAAGGTCCTGGGTTCGAACCGTTGTGATGGGTGCGTACTGATGAAGAGTCCCAAACTAGGACGAAACAGTTGTCCAGTACTCCCAGATTTTCCAATGGTTCTCTAACTAATGTCAGCTCATGATGAAATCCTGAAACCAATCAAATCCCTACAAACCAACACTTGAATAATTTGTTTTATTCCAAAACAGAACTACTTATGACACACAGTATGGAATCGTCAGCATTGATTATATCAGCTCTTTCGGTAGTAGTGGTGACACTTTTTTACTGGAAATTATAAATCACAAGGAGTGGATGCATCTTCGCCAACTTATTGGGAACGATTTCGAGCCATATCACTGATTGCCTCCAGCTTTCGTTGGTTTTTACCGTCCCAAAGACCCCAATCAGGTAGTCAGTCTACATCTACTTAAGTGGCTGGCTGGCTTAAACTAACTGTTTTGAATAGACTGATGAAGCCATGTTTGACCACCACCACCACTAGCTCTTTTCCAACCCTATCCATCCTATGTCAGCCAACATTGCCCGTCAGTCGAAGAAGGCGATGACTAGGCATACGTAACACATGCCTTAACCATCTCAATCGGTGTAACTTCACGACCTCGTGGATTTATTTCCCCTCCCACCTATCTAGCAATCGACCTCAATATCGTTCTCCTTATTATACTACTTCACGAGAGATAGAGCGCAGGTACCTATGATCAAACACAGCTGGCTAACCTTTTCATGTCTTCCACTCTCAATGGTTATGCCTCACTCACAGTCAGAGCGAGGTGCTGATAAGCAGTACACACTTCCTTTGGTCAACAGCCAGCTGGATATCACATCACAGGCCAGATACGGTGTAAACTGGTATATGCCAAGCTAGCCTTCTGTATCCGTTCTGAGATTTCGTCAGCAATCAACCCGTTGGCACTGGCTGATACAACTTCTCAAATCAATGAAGTGGTCAACACACTCTACCACTTCATTCCATAGATAATGATGATAATACTAATGATTCCTTGTCAGAGATTACAAATACGAGAAGGTGAAAGAACCAATTATTTTCCTAATTACATCCAAGTTTCTGATCCGTTTATAAGAAGTGACTGACTTGATGTTTGTATTGAAAATCCGACTGAATTTTGTTGTTGATGTTGGCTGAGTGACGAAGATTTCCAGATTGATTTCAGGTTGATGAATGTGTTTCTCGCCTTCCCGACTCTCGATTCGTTCGACATCCTTGTCCGTTCCGACTTCCTGGAGTTGAGACAATGCTCCCTAGATAAGTGAATGAAGTAACCTCTTTCAAATCCCTCCCGTTGATGGTGATTGACGCTGGATGTTGCTGCTGTTGTTGTTGGTTGGTTGGTTATTTTCATAACCTCCGTCTTGTCTATGTTCACATGGAGTCCTGTCTTCGCCGGTCGCTTCTTCGACCAGTTTGTCGGGTTTTGCTTGTAAATCTTCGATTTTGTGACAGTGACATCAAACATAAATCATCCACGCACGAAATCCAGATCTTCTAGGTTCTTCACGTCGGTCGGTTCAGGATATCCCTGTCTTCTCGTTTCCCACTCACTGCCTGACGCATAATCCAGCCAGTCCACCACAATTAGGAATATCATTGTGGGTGATAATAAGCACCCTTGTCTGACTCTTGTGTTTACTCCAAACACCTCACTGAGTTTTCCGCTGTGAATCATTTGACATGTGACCGTTGTCGTACAGCTAGCTGTTGAATAAGGTTGATTAATATTTGGGGTACGCCAAAGTACTCGAGTATTTTCCGAATTACTTCACGGTCAACGCTGTCGAAGGCCTTCTCAAAGTCTATAAAGTTGAGGTACAGGTTTGATTGCCATTCTATGTTTTGTTCGATGATGACGCGCAGAGTTGCAATTTGATCAGTGCATGATTTACCTTTCCTGAATCCAGCTTGTTCTGGTCGGATTTCTGTATCCAGTGCATCATTTATTCTTTCCAGGATGATGCGACTCAGGATTTTACTTGGCGTCGACAGGAGCATGATTCCGACAACCTTTAATATCCTTCAAAATATGACCCAGTCCATTTTGAGTAACCCAGAAAAGACTTAGTCGGTGAGGGAGTCAGATTAACAAAGTAAAATAATAATAAAGTAAAAGTAAAGGTTGAATGATTCCTGATTGTCTTAACTTCATAATGTAGAGTAAGTAGGTCAGACAAAAACATTTTCTTACAAGTCGACAAAATTATGGGATGACTAAGAAAGGTCAAAGGTTAGAATTATACCACCATTTACCATATCCACACTAGGTGTGTAAACACAAAAGATCCCTCTGTCGAGTTTAAACTTAAAATTCAATCAAATTGACTTATACATTTCTTGTCCAACATTTCGTGTAGGCTTAATATATTTCTTAATAAGCTTAGAAAGGCATATAGTTCCCAGTTGACATCATCAAATGAACAGTTGTCCATTTAGGTTATTATGCTGATTGGTTTTTATTCAAATCGTATTACTCGCCCGGTCTCAGTTGACATGACAGTTCCTATTAAGGAAAGTCTCACTAGTTAAGCCAGTAGAGGAATCCCAAACGAGGGTAGTCTAATGGAAGACGCTTTCGCCTTATACGTGAAAGGATTCAGTCTCACAGTGAACACCAACATCAATTCCCTGAATGGAGATGTTACTCAGACACACCAAATTACGAGTTCGTAATGGGATAGTTTGATGAAATGCCAAGCAATACAAAGTGAGCCGCAGCAGGATGATGCAGACGTCGATTGGCATTGTGCAATGCAACTGGGATGACTGACACTTGAGGTAGGATTAGTGAGTATGGGGTTTCCGCAAACATCCTGCTGTCCCGATTGGAATAAACTCGTTGATCCAAAAATTTATACACTTTCATCAAAAACCAACAACGCCATTCTCAAGAATTTAAAAATGGTTCACCTCTATCTGCAATGTTCTGGAGGTATTAAATCCGTGTGTACTACACTAGATGACATGCCGGACAACAGTTAATATCCCATGTCATTATCTATACACAAAAGTTGACCAAATGATAATTTGTCTGTCATACAACTTTCACTTGATGAACTCATGTAGAACACTTTTCAAATATGAAATGTTACATCACAGGATACTAACATATCTCACGATCTACGAAACAGATGATGACAGGCTTCGTTACTATCACAACAGAATAAGAATCTAGCGTCATTCAACCATCGATAGACATTGCTAAATTGAGGATATTAGACACACTAAATCAACGTTGAACTTTGCAGAAAAACGGTCAGAACGCTAACAGTGTATATTATGATCTGATTATCCTGGATAGTACTGACGATAGGGAAAATCCAGATCAAATGTCATGAGAAACGAATCTGTTCATCATAAGTAGTTATAATGAAGACAATGGGGGCGGGGGTGAGAATGCATATTACAACAAGTGCTGATCATGACAACAACAAACTCATGAAAATGTAGCCATCCACATTCCGGCAAAGATCATCATAAGTCGCTTTACAGTGGACAAAATGAGTGGGGACAACCACTTCACAGAAGTATAGGACAGTCTTCAATCAACTTAAGACAGTACCTCATTATCCATTACAATGAAGGTAGGTAACCCTTTGTGTTAGTGTGGCGTAACTGTGAAACAGAGCTTTCAGTGATACACGTTCGATCCCAGGAAGCAGAGAAAGAGTCACTTTTCCAGTTGACGCACGGTAGGAAACTACGACATGACCTGACCTTCTCCCCAAGAATGGAGTGTATGACGAGTTTTCAAACAAAAAACATGAAAGGCGTAACCTTTGAAGTCAGAGATGAGGTAAAGTTGACAAGCAAGGAAGTGTACACGGTGAAGTGCGGAAACGCCTTCCAAAATGCGAAGGACTACACACTGTCACCATCAGAAGAGCGGGTGCGTAATACACCGAAAAGAGGTTGGAGCGGCTCATATCGAAACAATTTGACAGAGTCGAGGTGGGGGCGGGTACGCCTTATGCTACTGACAAGATTTATCAGTAGTAGTGTATAGGTACAGACCGATAAAAAGCAGTCGAAAATCGCCCGACTGCATGCGTAGTTTAGCAGTGCCCTTCTTAATCCACGCTTCTTTCTCACTGTTTCACACGTCGAGTATGCTTACACAACACATATACAAAGAGGAAATGTACACATAGATAGATGGATGGATAGACAGACATGTATACATACATGTAGAAATTTACCTCTTCTAAATATTCTTCTCCTACAGGACCCGGTTCTTCGGATAACAAATGTCTTAGGTCTAAAAATTTAAGACAGAATAAATTCTCTTTGGATTTCACAAGGGTCACATTTCTCTCCTCTTTCTCACCGAGCAGGGTTGTTTGCGTATCTACAAAAAATTAGTAATAATAATAATAATTTCAAAATAATTAATTTTATTATCTGCATGCATGATAGGCAGGTTTTTCTCGGCTACTTTTATTGTTCAAATAAGGATAAAATGAAAATAAAAAACAGCTCACTGGTAACTGCACGATAGCGAATACATACTACTGATATATACAGAAATAAGTAGTCCGAAAGCACCCGCAACAAATGGTAGTGTATGTGAGTGATATAAATGCACCACACGGCCGTCTCACTAGTTTGGGGTCAAGCTTATCTACGGTGTAGTCGGTACTTTGACTAAGCAGAGAGAGAGAGGAAGAGAGAACTAAATCAGCTCAAATCACTCAGTCCTATTAAGAATCCCCTGGAGACGCAGAGATACAATAATATATATTCACTGAAATGTTACACATTTGCATCGAGTTCAAGTTACATCTGGGACTTACTCCAGTAACAGAAGTAATATATAAACTTGTCTCCCTTCAAGTTGTATTTCTGTTTGCTTGTGAATTTCGTCTTCGTGATTTTTACGCAAATCACAGTGTCTGTTTGTCTGTCTGTCTGTTTTCGACATAGAACTTTGCACAAATGTGCGGAAGTTCAAGTCGCCACATTCCGTGTAGCACGCGAAGCAAGAGAAGAAAGTACAAGAAAAGCATAATAGAGACAGTGAGCAGAGGTGTGAGACAAAGGAGTAATAAAGAAATACAAAACAGTTTCATTGAAGATCATAAGTCACAAGGAGTGGATGCATCTGCGCTATCACTGAGAACGATGAGTTTGAGCCATGTCACCAATTGTTTCCAACCATAGATTTTTACCGTCCCGAGGACCCCAGCCTGGAAGTCTACACCTTCTTACGTGGCTTAGACCAACTGTTGTGGATTTCATTGACTGGTGAAGCCAAGTTTTTGTTTGACCGCCGCTAGCTTTTTTCCAGCCTGACCCTATATCCGCTAACATTGCTCGTCGAGGGAGGCGATGGCTTGGCATACGTAACACATGTCCTAACCATCTCACAAATCACAGTGTAACACAAAAGAAGCAAAGAAATAGAAGTCAAGGTATTGAATTGTGAGAATATGTGAGGATAATGTTCACACCACCAACACACTCATCGCCCCACCTTCCCCCACCGGTCAAGAACTTTCGACTGAAGTCAGTTCAATCTCCTTGATGTTGGCCACTTTGTCAGCTTGTCTTGAATGTGTCGAATTCCAGAGTTCACTGACGTTCACTCGCTTCCTATTGCTTGCATTTCTGATTGTATATACACACGTGACCCCGCCCATCTCACGGTGACCGTGTTGTATGATCCTTTCCATTTTGAAAGCAGTTTGCATAACCCTGGCACGTATTCGCCGGTGTTTCACCTCAGGCTATGTATGATATGCTGCTCCGTCGCGAAACCTCTCTCAGCAACGTTCCAAATAAAACAACCTCATCACTGACAGGTTTTGAACGCCATTATTCAACTGCGTAAAAGCCTCGAAGTCCTCCAAGAAGATCAATATGTTTCCCTTCTTCAAAAACTGCAAGACATAGAGCTTACCATTTGTCGACAAGTAGAGACACCAAATGTAACAACAGAAGGCAAGACACGGAAATCAAGGTATTCAACTGTGGGAATATTTGAGAATCACACTGTCCGTATCACACCATTACAACAGGCTTATACGACCACCTCCACACACACACACACACACACACACATCAATGTTGATGATGAAGTGAAACATGCGTCGTGGTATTCGACATACGAAAATATCTCCTTTTCGCTCTTCAGTCGAACACACACACACACACAATCATAAACTTCGTCCACTTGGGAATCTGGATGTGTCAGTTGGGAGAGGGGCGAGGGCTCAATTGGCAGAATTCTATGAAGGAACAGTGTTGGTTTGATACCCAGACGAGGAAACCTCCAAGATCTCGTCTACCCCACCCCGTCGTCGTCGTCGTCAGTAGGCTCGCTAAGGAGAGGAAAGAAAATTGAGCTACTAGAACTCAACAAAACTCGGAAAACAAACAGATGAAAATTTTTTCTTTAAATAATAAAGTATTTACGCAAAATCATAAATTGAAATTATGACTCAACTTTCAAAAAGAGAAAAAGAAAAAGAGACCCAGAGCGAGAGCAAATGAAAGCGAGAAAAAAAACACAACCACCACCACTACCACCTACCAGAATTGATATAATGAAAGAATGAACCTAATGGATTGTCAGGTGATAATTGATCACGATCGCCTTTTGTCTTTTTCAATGACTGAATAATTCGAGCTTTCAATTTATGCCGTTTAAACGCCAAATGTTGAACATATATCGATTTCTTACGGAATGTCATCTTGCATAGGTTACAATGGATTTTAATGTTTTTTACACCAATCTGTTGTGAAGGGAATGAATGAACGAATAATAGGATTAGAAATTAGTGGAAGAAGAGAGGGGAATCTTATATTCATTAGTAATAATAATAATAATGATAAATATAATATATTTACTATTGCACAACTAGATTGAAGATGTTCAACAGACTTCAAATTTTGATTGGACACTAGTCAGTACTTATTGTGATGTGTCTAGTACCTTCTTTAGTGTAGACTGAATACTGTCAATCAGGTGGTCAGCAATGTAGTCACTATTCTAGGTAGCTCACCATCACGATGCACATTGGCTTGATAATATTTGATAGCCGGAGACTATCGGCCACAGGAAGCCTTGCTTGACCTAAGATTCCGTGTTCTAGTTGGCACTCACCAGTCAGTCAGCAAGGCGTATCTGCAACCGCCTTGAAGCAACTCATGCCCCCCCCCAGTGCTGCAGTCAGAGATGTTACCACAGAGCTGTTTGTACTGGCGATTGACCTTCTGCAGGAGTGTAGTGGGTAACTTGATTTAACACTAGTAACTAGTGTGACGTGTCTAGTCCTTTCCTTTGGGTGACGCGGGTTAGTATCTCAGAAAGGACATGGGTTAATTTGAGGCAGTTGCAGATACGCCTTGCTGACTGACTAACTGGTGAGTGCCAACTAGCACAAAACCTACGCCAAGCAAGGCTTCCTGTGGCCGATAGCCTTCAACTATCAAATATTATCAAACCAATGTGCACCGTGATGGCGAGCTACCTAGAATGGTGGCCACATTGCAAACTTGACTGACAGTATTCGGTTTGAACCAAACAACGAAAGGAGTAGACACGTCACACACACGTCGAATTTATTATATACACATCACCTGCTGCATAACCTAAACGAAAGCTAAACATAGCAATAAAGTGTTACATAAATTCCATCCTAGACACGAAAACGGGTGGGTGAGGTGTTCACCTTCACTTAATGATTGGCAAACATCAACAAAACGCTATACACATATCAACAATTTTAGACAGTAGGACTGATGAGGATAAATTTAAAATGTTCAAATATAACAAGCTTTCAATCATCTCACTAGAAGCTGACACAAATGGAATCAATGAATTCTGTACTATACGACCTTCGATTAGTCTTAAGCATTGTTGTGTGGAAGACTCACTCACATGGTCAGTCATCATCGTCTTCCTCGACAACAGTCAATGTTAGCTGACTAACATAGGATGAGGCTGGACAAAGAGCTATTGTTATTGTCAAACGAAAACATGGTTTCATCAATTAACGAAACGCATAACAGTTAGTCAGTTTAACCCAGCCTGCCAGGCAGCCAGCCAAGTAGGAAGGTGTGGACTTTCTGATTGGTTGGGGTCTTCGGAATGGTGTGAAAACCAATGAAGACTGGAGACAATCGCTGACATGCATGGCTCAAAATCTTTCTTCTCTTGCTTTTTGTGATACATGGAGGGAGAGTAACAGCTCAAACTGATAGACGTTTATGTAAAGTTCTCCGCTGAGACCAGTCAGTCAGCCAATCAGGGTGGAAGACTTGTAACCTCAACTAAAGGTTCTTTGATACTTTTTGTGATGTCTGTGGTAGATGGTTGCTTTAATTACAAAGACTTCACATTGTCCTTCAAGCCAAAACCATCTTGGGGATAACTTCAGTTGTTCAACCCTCACTTTCTCTCTCTCTCTGTTTCCTCCACTTCGTGTCTGTGTAAAATCCTTTCATTAAATTACATCTCTACTGTTTTTTCTGGAAGACGTACGGCCAGAAATATTGGCACACACCAAGGTACGAGTACTTGTAACAACAGAATGTTAGCTTTGATGTATGACAATGGTATTTTATCAGTTCAGTGATCCTTACGCATTGACTGACTAAATGACTCACTCACTCACTCAATGGGGAATGCAGATAGGTGAATACACCCATCAGTTGACGAGTCCTGCATAGGACGAAATGCGTATACACACACACACCAACACACGGAGAGACAAACAAGGTAGCAATAGAAAAATAGTAACACAAGACTGATAGAATAGATTGAAAAACCACCACCACAAACAACAACAACAAAACTTACACTCTCCTCTAGATAGGCAACTTCATCATCGAATTCTACATCATCATCTCCTTCGCTATTTTTAATATTTGCCAAAGTTTCTTTGAATAAAATAAAATTCTTTTTATGCGAATCAAGTTTAGAATGCTTAGCTAGCGCTGCTTTATTTTCAAATTTTATTTCACAAAAATCGCAATGAAGACTCGGTCGCTTTCCTTTCTTTTTCTACAGATATACATAGAAACACATGCAAAAAGTGGAAAAAATAGACTGTTAAGGCGCAGCTACTGACAAGATTTATCAGTAGTATACAATAATAAACAAAATAAATAAACGATAATCAATTACAAAAGGAGAAGAACCAACAGCGAAGGAAGAAAATGACAGTCAAGACATGACCTCAACTGGACATGGACAGATGATAGTTAGTTGGTTAGATCTCAATTACCCAATTATTTTATATATATCCCTTTAAGTTCCGGGGAGTAGGGGGAGAGACAGTGTTCCAGTAGCAATGGTGCTTAACACCCAACCTACCCTATTTATTAGGGCTTATAACCGGTCAGGATTCGAACATCGGATCATGTGCAAAGTTGGCGAGAAATCTGCCGCTGAACCAACAATGCACAAAAGCCGGTGACACTCCGTAACCCATGTGAGTACTATTCAGACGAAACGCTGCTTAAATTCAGTGCACGGAAGAGAACAGAAGCTTCCAATTTGATATACTCGCTGAAATTACCCAGGCTGAGGTAGATGAAGGAGGACTCTCAAGCTAGGGATCTGTTAGCTTGAAATCTACTTCTCAGGAGTCAATCGTGCCATATCTGTCTGTCTGGATTCAACATAGAACTTGGCACCGAAGTGCAGCAGTTCGAGTTGCCACCTTCCAAATAGCACACAGAGGTAGACAAGAAGATGAGTGAAGAGAATCAATACAGTCTGACAAGTATAAGAGTGAAACAGAATGGGTAATGGTAGAAAGGAATATGAAAGATTACAGAGACTGAATACATCTGAGCTGGCCATTGACAACGATTTTGAGCCATGTCACCTATTGTCTCCAGCCATTGATATCCTAGAGTCAGTCCCGAGGGCCCCAACCCGGAAGTGTGCATCTCCCCACCTACCTGACTCAGTTTAACTGTCAAGGATTTCATGGATTGATGAGGCCATGTTTTTGTTTGGCCACCACTTAACCTTTTCCAACCTGCACCTATATCAGCTAGCAATGCCCGTCGGGGGAGGCGGTGGTTAGGCATGCGCAGCACGTGAACTAGCCATCTTAGTCTATGTAACTTTATAGCCTCGTCGATTGATTTTCCCTCTTTGCCCAACACTCTACGCCTAACGTCAGCATTACTTACCTTATTAAACCAACTAACGTGAGACAGAGATCGCAGACATCTATGATCGAAAGCAGTCAACCTTTTCATGTCTTCAACAACGCGTATTGGCCATGTTTCAGAGCCATAGAGAAGGACGGAGTGAACTGCTGAGCAGTACACATGTCCCTTGGTGTATATATGCATATATATATTGTATATATATATATATATATATATATATATAACAATGAACAACAAGAAGATTCAGGTGACCATACTGTCAAACCGAAGACGACAGCAACTACCAGTGATTACCGTACACAGGAAAGAAAGAAGTCGTCCCTCACTTTTAGTTACATGGAAAACGCGGAAAGATGTCAAGGTCAGTCAGCATGGAATCGGTAAAGTAAGTTAGGCACCCAAAATTAAGAAAGAAACAAGATCCAAATTCTCAATACTAATGCCAAACCAGTGATTCTATGATAGAGTTCAGCGAATCGGTGGCACTCACTTCACCAAAATCATTTCACAAACAAACTGCACACACTTTTATCCATAGTACTCAATAATTCAAATTAGACAGCTGCAAAGGGATAAGTAACAGGACATCGTTGAAGCATCTGCACAAGAAGCCAACAGACATGACAACTTTTGAGACCGAGCACTTTGGTCCAATCGATAAATCGACGGGAAAACCAAAAATTCAATTACACACACACACAACTTCAAGTTAAGTGGAAAATCACTCTGAGATCGATCGACGGGAAAACTCAACAAGTAGGAACTCTATTAATTTTAATCTTTTGTTTTTAGAAAATAAAACCAACTTACTCTATTCTCACGTGATCGTTCCCTTGGAATCACTTGCTGTGCTGCTTTCCGTTCAGCTTTCTTTTTAGGTTCTGTTTTCCTCAAGAAATACAATGGCAGTGTTCTTCTCTCCGTTCGATCAGAATACAGTGATGCTGACGATTCTTCGAACTATAAAAAATTTGCATGTAAAATGGTTTTTTTTGGTTAAATAGCAATCAGTGTTACAAGGAAAAACAAAGAGGAATTATCAAATTATAATAACAAAACGGGACTAGTTGAATAACCAAAAAGGTTGTAGAGAAAAAGTACTTGGACAGGACAATGTTATACACATTTTCACAGATTCGTTCCTATCAAGTAAAAAAGAAATTTAGTGAAGACCCTCACTCAGCCACAGGGTTAGTTAGAGCTATATGCTCAGCAAAAGCAATTGAAGATCAATTAAGCATTGTATACCTTGATACTTTGATCAAAAATATCTAGCTATCCCGAAAAATTTATCAAGAAACACATGACAAAGAAAACGGCGGAAAAGGACTACTCACCACTATCCATCCGTGAACAAGAAGACACTTTATATACGACTCCAATTCACGGATGACATACCAAGCGAAATAACTGCGAAGAAATTGAGAAAATCAGTTCAGAGAACTTTCAATGCTGGCGAACTACACGTTTTATTCTCTACACGACCGATGGTGCTACCTCGACTGAAAGATGAAGTACCCTGGGCTAGCCACTTTTAACTGTATTTACCAATTCAAATGCTCTCCTGTGCTGGAGCGAGTTATATTGGCCATTGCTCTAGGAGCTTGATTTTTCGTGCTCACTCGAGAACATATCCCAGTATGGCTTAGTAAAGGTGTAGTGAAAACCATCATCAACAGTTCGATATTGGACCATCTGATGCAAACCGGCCGGACACAAAGCCAGCCAGCGTGGAAGAATCCTGCACTATCATCTACCGGGTGCCTAATAAATTGTCAAAGTCATCATCAAAGCACCGCATGCTCCAGACAGCAGAGGCTATTGCAATTCGCCTCAAACAACCAGTGCTCTGTGTTCAAAAGAAGCAAGTCCAGCCACTACTACAGCCTTGGCCTTCAGTAGAGACTACATGTTATGTACTCGTCGCTAAATTATTGTGGACTGGTCGAGAATTTAATAGTCCTGACGCAAGAAGGCGGAAATCAGAAGACCACTAGTTTGCGATGATACTTCTATTTTCCAAACACAAGGAGAATGCAAAAGTGGTATCACACCAAAGTGGTAAGTAAGTAAAGTAGTTCACACAAATTGTGTGAGCGAAATATATATGACAAGGGTGTGAATTATCATTAGACAGTCTTAACATGAATGGCTAATTATAATGAAGTATCGATCCACATATACATAGCGAAATATAACAGACATGTCAACAACCACCATATATGGATATATGTCACCAAGCAACGGACTGTCAACAAACACTCATATTATATATAATATAATATGAGGAGAATACACATTATTAAAGGAGACAAGTTCATACAAGTGAAATGGTCACAGACTAAGCGAGCAAACAGAAAGAGAGACCAACATCACACACACACATAAATACATATATGCGGATACATATCACTACAAATTCATGAATTTGTAATATTATCTTTCCTAATTCTTCTGACATTCAGCTTATTATTTTATGTTGATGCTATTGAGCTGTAATCTGTTGATATTATTATTGATTCGATGTTATTTAAGCAGCAACATTAATTTTGTTCATAACACTAATTAATTCATTCATTCACTATAATGTATATATAACTGCAGAGCCTGATGATGAAGGGGTTATCGAAAAGAGTATACTCTTTGTTCAGTATCCATTCTTTTGAAAACGTTTGTATTTTCATGCTGATTCAGTGTCCATGGAACAGTTTGACAGAAGCTCCCCCCGCCCACACACACACACACACACATATTGTCTGAGTGGGGTTGATGATACTACTATTCTCAGTTAGCCAGGTAGAATTAAATGGAATGGGATTCGAACCCTAGGTCAACTAGTTAAAAGCTATTTTTGCATGTGTTCGATGGTGTCGACTCGAGGAATATACATTCAGTAATCAACCTCTCACGCTCTCCACCTATAACCCTCTCCCAACCACCCGATTGTCTGGTTGCGTATTAATTTTCGCAGTGCAATTGCTGAATATAAGAAGGTGAACTGAACACTAGCGTTTATAAAAACCGACGCATTCTGCTAATAGATATTTAGACTTTAATTCGTTCCATCCGTTAACTGTTAAGGCATGCGGCTTAAGTTAAGTGTCTAATAAACCGAGCAGTAGTACCATGCAGTACAAGAAAGGACCTAAATAACGAAATAAAACCGATAAAAGGACCGTTGGTATTAAATAACTATCCTATAAAATTCATTAGGAAGATCAGAAAAGGCCAAAAGCAAAATAAAAATAATTGTGAAACTAGTAATGATAACATAAATAAGAGAAAATATAAAACATCTACTGTTATATCATATAAGGAGGGGACATCTGAAACCCTCCCTATGTCGGATTCTTCTGTCTGTCTGGATTCAACATAGAACTTGGCACCGAAGTGCAGCAGTTCGAGTTGCCACGTTCCAAATAGCACACAGAGGTAGACAAGAAGATGAGTGGAGAGAATTAATAGAGTTTGACAAATATAGGAGTGAAACAGAATGGGTAATGGTAGAAAGGAATATGAAAGATTACAGAGATTGAATACATCTGCGCCATTGACAACGATTTTGAGCCATGTCACCTATTGTCTCCAGCCATTGATTCCTAGAATCCCGAGGACCCCAACCCGGGAGTCTGCATCTCCCTACCTGACTCAGTTTAACTGTCAAGGATTTCATGGATTGATGCCATGTTTTTGTTTGGCCACCACTGGCTCTTTTCCAACCTTCACCTATATCAGCTAGCAATGCCGACAAAAAAAAATTTTAAGAATTTTTTTTGTCGGATTCTTAAAAAGCAGGGATTCCAACCCCACCTTCAAACTCACTCAGATAGGACTACTTCTGTAGGTTAAAGGACATAATAGGTTGACCCAATTAGACAAGATAATATAATTTAAAAAATACCCTGTGGTGACTGTAAGCCAGGTCAACTACATCGGTCAAACTAGTAGATCGGGCGGGGGTAGTCAGATTGTCGAGAAATAAGAATTTAGCCGAGGTGAAAATGGTTAACCGCAAGAAGATGAGTAATTTAGAAAAAGAAAACTCAGGTATTGCACTGCATGCATTAACAAACAACTACACACAATAGGGTGGCGGGAGAGGGTTAAAATTGTAAGAAGCAATATATAGATAGGTGGAGAGTGAGAGAGATTAATTACTGAATCCTTGTTCATAGAGTAATCTACACACCTAACACATGCAATAAGAATGACTCATCACTCACACCGGAAATATGCAAAATACTACTACCAATCAAGTCAAGCAATGTCTGTCTGTCTGTCTGTTTTCGACATAGAACTTTGCACAAATGTGCGACAGTTCAAGTCGCCACACTCCGTGTAGCACGCGAAGCAAGCAAGAGAAGAAAGTACAAGAAAAGCATAATAGAAACAGTGAGCAGAGGTGTGAGACAAAGGAGTAATAAAGAAATACAAAACAGTTTCGTTGAAGATCATAAGTCACAGGAGTGGATGCATCTGCGCTAGCCACTGAGAACGATGAGTTTGAGCCATGTCACCAATTGTTTCCAACCATAGATTTTTACCGTCCCGAGGACCCCAGCCTGGAAGTCTACACCTTTCTACGTGGCTTAGACCAACTGTTGTGGATTTCATTGACTGGTGAAGCCAAGTTTTTGTTTGACCGCCGCTAGCTTTTTTCCAGCCTGACCCTATATCCGCTAACATTGCTCGTCGAGGGAGGCGATGGCTTGGCATACGTAACACATGTCCTAACCATCTCAGTCTTTGTAGCTTCACGACTTCGTCGATTGAATTCCCCTGTTTACCTAGAACTTTACGCCTAACCTCAATGTTGCTCACCTTATTATGCCACTTTACACGGGAAATAGAGTGTAGGCACCTATGATCAAAGACAGCTAGACTAGTCAAGCAATGGAAAATAATGAAGTCATATAAACGAAGTTAGAAAATTGTGTGTGAGTAGTTGCGTTGATATGATTATGAGAGGTAATAATTTCTGCTCGAAACGTGGTCAACAGTAAATATGATTGTATAACACGCTGTGAGACTTTATCAAAACAAATTTTACCCATAATGGAATTATACTCTACCACCAAAGTGAACAAGTTTTATTCTTATATCAATAGCAAAAAGCCGAGTGATGAAGTCAATCAGATAAGTGTGTCTCCCCACTACCATGACCGCGAAACACACCATCAGTCTGTTATATGTTCCTCAAATTAACTCAATCATAGTCATTAGGTGGGTTTAAAAGAAAAATTTTAACGCTACTTATCTGAGGGTAGTGGGGTGCTAACGATGGAATCAAGAAAATATGCTTTGTCGTCATCTGGGAGTTATCACCTACAACTCCTTCTCTTCGGCTTCGGCAGCAGGGAATGACTGTGTCTCCAGTTAGACTGTGAAATTCCGAAGCCATCATTATCCATCAGACCACTGTGACACGCTGATGAGTCCCATATAGGACGAAAAGCACATCCCGTACCACCAAAACCGTAACTTTGAGTTACTTTATCCTGCTTACACATTGAAGCACCCTCATTCAAGTGTTCAGAAGGATAATTACTACAGGTTAATCTCTGCTGAAGCATGAAGTCTGTAGGAAAACGCGTCATAACTCGAAAGAACGGTTTATGTAATAAGCGGTAACAACACACAGATACATGGACCTGACACCACTGGTGAGATCATACAGTGACGCCCAACCCCTTTGTTAGACACCACCTTACCCTATATATTTCAAAATATAATTTCTTGAAACACTTGTGGCACACTTAGTAAAACAAAATTAACTACACACACAATGATTGATATCATACCGGTAATTTATCACGAGCACGTCGTGGTAATGCTGTTGGTAGTGTCATTGGTGGAGGCACCATCCCCATCTGCACACTTTCTTCATGTAGAGAAGATCTACGCTCAACTTTTGATTGGCGTATTGATGATGCAGCAGGCAGGGGACGGTAAAAACCTGAAAATTTTGATAAAGAAAAAGAAAATTAACTGAAAACATGATGACGGTGATCATATCGATGAAAGCAAATAGCCGTTTTATAACATCATAGCTAAGAGTTCACAGAAGAACTTCAGAAGACAAAGCACACGTCAAATGCCTTTATCACTATATGTCAGTGAGGGCATGGGTTCGAATCCCACCCCCATCACGAGTTTGTGCGTCGGTGACACAGCGGTTAGGACACTCGCCGACCATGAACATGGTCCGCGGTTCGATCCCCAGCTACAGACGCACTCCTTTACTTCGCTAAGCCAGAAATAATGCTGGTAAAGAGGAAAAGTTGGCCATGAGGCTAGCAACCCCATCTTGTAAAAATAATCCACCACTGCTACAGAAACTTGAAAACCACTAGCTTGAAGTCCTATGTTCCATTGGGGAACATGAAGGGAAAAAAATCACTGAGTGAATGAAATCAACTGAGATTCTGCAGATACGCTGTGATGATCTGGTTACAGGTACCATCAGTACTTCCCCCCAAAATAAGAAAATATCACAACTGTCACAATACGAATATTATATTTTGCGAAAAGCCGAGAGTGGAATATGGACGCCAAACTGATGCCAGATGCCATGGTAATCACGAGTATAGCTTGTCTAAGTGTATACAACGGTTAACCGACATGTGATCAGCATCAATAAAATAGTGCGAGTTATCCCACGTAGACAGCCAATTCTGATTTGGCCGTAGGCAGACTGGACATCGAGTCGGAGAGAGAGAGAGAGGAAGACCCACCCACCTCACACTCCTGTAATATCGCAAATACATTTTGTTGACGCGTGCAAACAAGCATTCTACATGGGGGCCCAGGATTTCCCCTGACATTTGTCTCCAACAGCCAAACATCGACTGAGAGTGCACCACGGTGTTGATTACAATATTTCAAACATGACCATTAGCATTCAGTCTGCACCAATATCACTCGCCTGGTGACTCATCTGTATATCCATTACAGAAGGTCAGTCCTGAGGCGCGGAATAGTCCGATGACAAAGTCTCTGACTACAACACTAGAATATGTTTCAATTGAAGGCTAGACATCAGTCACAACAGAGTGCACTAAATTCTCAACGTAAAATCGTGCACCAGTTGGCAGCAGTCCAAGTGACCACAATACGTAAGGCGTACACACACACACACACACAAAGAATGTGAACAGAAAGAGGCGCAAAAAGAAATAACGGAGTAAAATATCATCATCCTACCCTGATCATTCATCTGCATCATTCCACTCTCTCTAACCGGTCTTGGCGTCAAAAATGTTTCACCCTCATAACCCTGTAAAGCAAAAAACCAATTTTCAAAAAAAAACAACAGGAAAACATTTAAGATCCACCAAAAAATTTCGAAAAAAACTGACAAAATCACAAAGTTAAACTATCTCATAGCCAAAAGTTCACAGTAACCTTGAACAACCAATCAGAATTCAGATGCAAAAATGAATAACATAATACTTGAAATGCAAGTGTTGGTTTGTAGGGATTTGATTGGTTGCAGGATTTACATCATGAGCTGACATTGATTAGAAAACCATTGGAAAACGACCAAGAAGTACTGGACAGCCGTTTCATCCTAGTTTGGGACTCTTCATCAGTACGCACACACCACAGGGGTTCGAACCCAGGACCTTCTGCTTACAAGGCGAGCTCGTAGACCATTAAGCCGTTGGGGGACCCAATCCAGTAGGTAGGTAGTTACCTGGGCTTTCGGTGGGAAGTCGTGACCAGTAGGGTGCAGCAAGTCAAATGTGAGGACAAATACTTGCTGAAGACATTTGCTAGCGGTTGCGCTATATCGTGAATTGACAGAAGTTGGAATTCATGGTCATTTGGATCGGGTCCCAGTGGCTGATGAATGGTCTACGAGCTGGCCTTGTAACCAGCATGTCCTGGTTTCCAACCCCGGTAGTTGCGTACTGCTGAAGAGTTCCTACCTAGGACGAAACAGCTGTCCAGTACTCCCAGGTTGTCCAATACTTCTCTAACTAATGTCAGCTCATAATGAAATCCTGTAACCAAATCACATAACCGTTGAAAAATGCATCTTTTTTGAAAACCTTGCCAACATAATATTACACACTGGATAATTTGTCATTTATGTGTTGTAAGAATTTCTCCAAGTCAACCTACATGCATAATCTATAGAGAAATCAAAGTATGCACGTTAGATGTATCCATACGGGTAACTGTAGATCATGGTACTTTGATATCCATTGATATTTTTAACACTGTTCTTCAACCTACCCCTGAAAACTCAGACTGTAATCCTAGCCTTAACTTAGACCCCAACATTAATCTCCCGAAACCATAACCCTACCTAACAGTATACACTTACAGAAGAGAACTACACAGGAAATTAATTCGAATACTGTATCTGGCCTCGCCAAAATGGCAAAACGCAGACATGATTTGATTTGGAATGGCACTCCTTTCTTCATAGCATTCCCTAAAATCTTATTTGTTCCTGAAAGTCAACTCTTTTGGTCATTATTCGTGTGGATGAGACAGTGCTTATAAAAAGGAAACACAATCAAGGTAATTCACATGTACTGTAGTCAAGATTTGACAGAATAGTTCTAAAATATTTGGGCGCCGAGTGAGAGGTATAGACATTTGTAAAATATTATATTTGTAAAATCTCAGCGATATTGAAATGAGTAATTTCAACGTTTCGTTCGGCAATCTGGTTCGAACTTCTTTAGAGAAATTAATCGAAATTAACGCTGGAATAACTCATTTCAATCTCACTGAGATTTTACAAATATAATTTTTTACAAATGTCTATACCTCTCACTCGGTGCCCAAATATTTTAGAACTATTCTGTCAAATCTTGAAGACAGTTCATTTGAATTACTTTGCAATCGAATTAAATTAACAAAGAAACTATGAAATTGGTACAATCATCGTGTTTTCACTCTCCGTTGTCTGTAACAAAATGCGTATCCTAAATTCGTAGCTGTCCAGTCACCTGACAATCTCAGTAGGTCGAATAAAGCAGCTCAACCTTCCGAAAGAAGACAAAGCAATAAGTTTCACGGGGTTGTTCAACTAAACTCTAATCCTAAACACCATAATTTTGAAAATGTTCATCTAATCATAAAATTCTAGATACTAACAGTTTGAACAGACATGAAGGTGTGATGTGTCAGCTGATGCATAGGAAATCCTGATCAATAAATAAGAATGGATGTGTATCACAAATTAATAATACTTGGTCGAAATTCCCGACTGCCTATATCTTTTTATGGAGATGTTAAGAAATGTCTTTACAACTGTTTACCCACACACACACACACACACATATATATATATATATATATATATATATATATATATATATATATATATATATATATATATATACTCTGTTTAAAGTGTTCAACAAAGGTAGATCAATATTTGTAAGTCTGAGGTCAAATTTTGATCACAACTCATACAATTTTGTTTATTATACTAGTTGATACTTGTTTTATGACTCATGATTGGACGAAGTTTTTAAAAACAAGAGATGTTATAAGATGTTACATAAACCCGTGTTCTGTTAATTTCGATTAATTTCCCTGAAGAAGTTCGTACAAGATTACCGAACGAAACGTTGGAATTACTCATTTCAATATCGCTGAGATTTTACAAATAAAATTTTTTACAGTCGAGGAACATTGAGTACCAATCGGCAGTGGGTAGTAGGATTATATGACACAAATCTATGCGCAAAGGATAAATTGAGACGATCTGTGATCGCGGTGCCAACGTCTAGTTCTGCCTGCCTGGCATACCGATAAATACAGACCAGTGGAGTAGCTATAACCAACTGTTACCCCTGGGCTATATATTCCCCTCGACGGGACTCACAATAATTCCATTGAAAGGCACTGGAGTCACATAAAATAGAGGTTCAAAGCGCTGAACAGGTCAAGAAACACAATCAATTATATTTATCTGGAGGAATTCATGTCCAGAAATCGGTTCAACCTAACGATGTGGACTCCCATATGCAGTAATTGGGAGCTTTCCTTGGAACATATATACAAGAATGTTATCCTATGTAACTACTTTTTTCAAACTATGCGGCTTCACTTAGAACACATTTCATTGGTCGACAGAAGTTTTATCAAGGTCAATCATCCGTTCGTTTATTGGATGGTTTCGTTTTGGGTTGCTATAGCTTAGAATAATCACCTGATATACTTTTAACTTCGCCGATATTAATTTCATTTAACCAAAGTGATGCATAAAAATACTTTCATATCTCACAAAAAACATTACATAACAACAAGATGCAAAAAGTAGAAGTAAAAGTAAGTTTACTTCATATCTTGACCTCTCTTCATGACGCTGATGATAAACGCTATAGTCTGTAGGAGCAACATCGTGAATTGATGATCCTGGACGTTCAACTCCTAGAAGTAGAATAAAACAAGTGGAAAATAGAGAAAAATTTCTAGAAATTCAAAATAAACAAATAATATTCGATTCTGTTATGTTTTATGGTGCAATGCCATGAAGGGAAGACGGGAGTAAGGCAAGGCTGCCTACTATCACCAATGATTTTCCTGATTGCAGTAGATTGCAGACAACAGACAATGAGGAAACAGGCAGGGCTGTCTACTATCGCCAATGATCTTCCTGATTGCAGTAGATTGGATAATACGACAGACAGCGGGCAATGAGGAAACAGGCATAAAATGGACTCACACAAAAAACTTGGAGGATCTGGACTTCACCGATGACATATGTCTGATTTCACAAAAACTGGAAGATATTCAAGTGAAAAGCAACAAGTTGGCAGAAGGAACATCACAGATAGAACTCCAAGTAAACATAGAGAAAACAGAGGTAGGTGATGAAGATTCCTGGGCAACACCAACAGCAACAACAACAGACAACAATCAGCCAGCATGAATGGGAGGAACCTGAAAGAAACAACCACCTTTACCTACCTGGGAAGCATCGTATCAGCTACAGACGGACGGAACTGGTGAGGATATCAAAGCAGCAAGGATCAGGAAAGCAAGACAAGCTTTCATTACTCTCAAGTCTGTGTGGAGGTCAACAGTACTCACCATCAAAAATAAGATCCGGATTTTCAACTCCAATGTAAAGTCAGTCAGTGCTACTATACGGATCAGAGACTTGGCCAGCGCATCATAAAGGGCACATCAAACAAACTACAAACCTTCATCAATACATGTCTTCGGTCAATACTACTCAAGATAAGATGGCCGGTCGGAAAAGATCACCAACAAGAATCTATGGGAATGAGCGAACCAACCTAGCAGGAACCAATTGTTCAGCAATAGACAGGAAGAAATGGAGGTGGATTTGCCATACTCTGAGGAAACCATCAAGTGACATCACAAGACAGGCCGTTGCTCGAGTGGAACCCGAAAGGGAAACGGCGAGTTGGTCGTCAGTGTAAGAGTGACTTCGAGGAGGTCATGTGAAAAGGACATGAAAGCATGTGGGCAGACTTGGAGCTAGGTGAAAGCTCTAGCAGAGAAACGAACGCAATGGGGACGTGCAGCTGAAGCCCTATGTTACTGTCGGAATTAAAGGAAATAATAATAACAATTTCATGTATCAACTGATTCACAACGGAAAACTCAGCGACGCCTTTTGAAGTAAGATACAGAAGTTAGACAAGGCTGAGTACTATCCACTTACAATATATTCCTAATTGCGGTGGAATGCATTGTGCGGAAAACCGAGAGTGGGAAGCGAAGAGACAGGAACACGTTGGACCGATAAGAAGACAACAACACTACAAGATGTGGACTTCACGGAAGACTGATGTTTAGTTTCACAAACTCGAAGACTTATATTCGAAAACCAACAAACTGGTTGAAGAGGAAAGGCAGGCAGTGAAAAAGGACTTCAAGTACACACACACACACAGAAGACGAGAATGATGAAGGTAACCAATCAACTACAACAAGTCCCAAATCACTACCAACGGGAAAAATTTGAAAGAGGTCACCTCCTACATTTATCTAAGGCACCATCGTTTCACCTACAGGCGGCACTGATGAGGATGCTAAAACCACAATCGGAAAGGTATTCCAACAGGCTACTGTAAACTTTCATCAACAGCTGTCCTCGATCACTTTGTGTACTGCTGATCATCAGATGGCCAGAAAGTAATTAGCAAATCAACCAATCACAGCAGCCTATTGATGAATAAATATGTGAGGCAATCAGAAACGAACTCATTTCTGACCAAGAACTCGAACTTAGGACAAAAGTGCCAATTGAGGACATAATGCTGGGAGTGCAGCATTGCTTGACTTCTACAGTATTTAAATTCCAAGGGAAAATATACAAACAAACTGAGGAAGTTGCCATGGGATCACCAATATCCCCGGTTGTAGCAGATATATTCATGGATAGGTGGGAAAACATGGCGGTTGAAACGTTCACCCCACCCCCAAAAGTTTGATGGAGGTATGTAGATGACACATTCACTGTACTTAGAATACAAGATTTAGATAGATTTTTTGAACACATTAACTCAAAGGCGGAGGCAATTCAATTCACTTATGAATTAGAAAGTCAGGAAAGGGAGCTTCCAATGTTAGATTGCAACGTAAAAAGGAAAGAAGATGGAAAGTCGAACACACTAGTGTGTGTTTACAGGAAACCCACACATTCAAACAGATATTTCGACTTCCGATCATCCTATCCTATATCAGTAAATATAGGATTGGTGAAATGTAACAGAGCGCAAAACTACGTAGTACCAAGGAAAATCTAAGACAGGAAGTGATACTCATAAAAGAAGCCTTAAAGCTTAATAATTACTGGGATAAATTAGTCAGGAAATATGTAAGGAAATGTAAAAATAAAATAAATAATGACAGTAGTGGTAATGACAATAATAATAATGGTAAAAATAATAGTAATAATAATAATAATAATATTCATGACGACAACAACAATAAGGAATCTAAATCATCAGTAGTAATTCCACACAAGGAAGGAACGTCGGAAACCTTACGCAGAATTCACAACAAGGCAGGCAGGAATAAAAGTGGCTGGCATTCAAACCAACCACAAACTCAATTAGTAACTAGCTTTGTCGGTTAAAGGATCAATCCTGTGGAGCCTATAAAACGAAACAATTTAATTTATTTAATACCCTGCCTGCAATGATTGTCAGGTCAAATACATAGGTCAAACTAGTAGAACCGGGTCAGTCAGACTAGCCAAACATAAAAACCTAGCTAAATCTAGATTGGTTGACCCAAATAAGATAAGAAATCTAGAGAATAGTTCAGCCATACCACTCACTGCATGCAGTTACACACAACCACACAATAGGACAGGATGGGATACGATGACAGTTTTAAAATCTAATGTTACAGGGTATAGGGAGAGATTGATAACAGAAGCTTTGTTTATCGAATCAACTGCAAATACATGTAATACAAATGATTGACCACCTGTCCCAGATATATGGAAAATTCTACTGCCCCTACGACAAATAGGAGAGGACAAAGAAAACTATAAAACTCAAGTTTCAAAGTCGTAAGATCACAATTGATATAATTACGAACAATAAATATTGTTCGAAAGGCGTCTTCATCCAGTAAATAATACTGTTTCTGTGACTGTGTGATACATCTAATAAACAAACTAATATGGAATTACTCCGTTATCATACTCCTAATTGCGATGGACTGAATTGTGCGGAAACTGAGAGTGTGCACGAAGAGACAGGAATACGTTGATCGATAAGAAGAAACAACACTACAAGATGTGGACTCCACAGAATTTCACCAACTCGAAGACTTACATTCGAAAACCAACTGGCTGAAGAGCAAGGCAGGCAGTGAAAGGACTTCAATACACACACACACACACAGAAGACGAGAATGAAGATAACCAATCAATCACAACAAGTCCTAAATCACTATCAATGGAAAAAATTCGGAAGAGGTCACTTCCTACATATTTAGCTTCATCATCTCAACCATAGGCGCACCGATGGGGATGTTAAAACCACAATAGCAAAGGCATTCTACAGGTTACTGCAGACTTTTATCAACAGCTGTCCTCACTCACTTTGTACTGCTGATCATCAGATGACCGAAAGTAATTAGCAAACCAACCAATCACAGGAGCCTATTGTTGAACAAATATGTAAAAGGAAGTGGATATGCTTCGGAGACCGTCGAATGACATTATCCTCAGTGCAAGTCATCACTCGAGTAGAATCTGAATGTGAAACGACGAGTTAGGCGTCACGCATGCAGGGTGACATGGAAGAGATCGTCATGTGATACAGAGGAGATGAGAGACTATGAGCAATGTTAGGGCTAACTAATAAGGACCAAAGAGAATAAGATAAAACGGAGATGTGTGCTGGCTGGTGAAGTGTGTTTATGTCATCAAAAGTGTTCATTTTTCTTTCGGTTCTACTTTAATCTGAAAATACATCATGACAGAAAAATAAGAAGATGGAGAATAGACTAAAGACGTTAATCATCCATCACTCATCAGTTCAGTTAGTTGACTTACACATAAATAATACAGACACATTGGAAGGGGGGGGGAGAATAACTAACTGAAATAGATACCAAGTCGAAAATTAAATATCTTGGCGTCATTCTATCTACAGATCTTTCCTTCCTGGTCGTCTCATATCTTGATGATTTCTAAGAAAACATACCGTCTTACCTTCTACATCATGAAGTCAAGACATTATGGAATAACCCAACCCTTACTTACTCTTACGATTCGTTAACTCTTGCATGCTGCCTATTATTCTCCATTGTTCCCCACCCCCCCATTATTTTTTCCAGGACTACTGAAGAAAGACTATATCCTATTACGTAGGATGTTATAGGTTGTCATTAGGGTAAGCAACGTGCCACTTAACCAGCTTCTTAATATTCTGGTTTATTTTCACGGGACGTGGGGTTGTTAGCCAAACTCACGTCCAACCTTATCCCCCTATAATCGACTTTACTATCGACTTGCCGAGGATCGAAACTCGGACCACATGAGGCGTAGTTGGCGAGCGTTCTACCTCTGAACTACCGATGCGCCGTTTAATAATGATATATTTATGCATGTTGTAATTTATTTTTTCCTGGCGTCGATGGCACAGCGGTTAGGACTCTCGCCGACCATGCACATGGTTCGGAGTTCGATCACACTTTTCGACGTACACCTGATATCAATGGTTGGCCTGCAAAATTTGGGCTACCGATATCACATGCTGAAAATTTCATACTTGTACTGCAAATACGGTATGGAATCAAGCTATGATAAAAAAAAATAATAATAATAATAATTAGAAATAATGCGTATGCACATAACAGAACTCACCGAATCCATTCATCATATCCACATCACTATTGTCGTATTGATCACTTCGTCTCAAACGGCCTGCTGGTGATGGTAGTGGTGCTGATCTCATATCATAACTTGGAAACTTGAATACACAAACAAAATAATAATAATAATCAAAACAATAAAAAGTAGCGTTGATATGATTGAAAACCAGTAATGCACCAGTATTATTATTATTTCTATGTGTTTAGTTCTTCGTTTGTTCAGTGCAGACTGAATTCTCTCAATCAGTCAAGTTAAGTTTGCAATGTAGATACGATAGAGAAGATTTGTAGCTCAGGTGGATGATTTTAATGTGGCTGTGTGGTTCTCTGAGCTAACTGGATGGTTAATTTACGAAGCTTTCATTGCCCATCCCACTAGGTGACATCTTCCTTCAGCGCATACTTCAATTTGATTTGAAGTGAGCTTTTAGATTTCTCCACGAGTTTATTAATCAGCTCTCCTGGTCGGTGACCTTGGACGTGATTGGTTGTTTTGTGTGTTTTCACACCTTCTAGGCAGCTACGTGTATTGGAACTGATTGTTTCTTTGACTTGAACTTTGAACCTTTGTGTATGAGGTCGCCTTCTTATCAGGTGATAAATTTTGTCTATCTCGATGTATCTATTAATTGATAATTCACTAGAATACCAGGTAGGCTTCTAAAATTTCTCTAGCTTTCTTGTTGTTTCCTCTGTCCAATATTTGAACGTTGTTTCAGTCCCAGTTCCTTAAGATTCAAACCTTTATGAATTGACGTCATACACAAACCAACAAAGTCACTTCACTCAGCTGACTCTGTGTCAACCAAAAGACTCAACAGCGAAAGAAGAAAAGAAAACCAACATCATCTACAAAATAAATTGTAACAATTGCGAAAAACACTACATTGGCCAAAGTGGACGTCCTCTTCGTCTTCGTATCCACGAACATAAGTAGCCATCAAAAGATATGATATCCCTCCCGCATACAGACAACCACGTACATCAAGTGGACTGGGACAACGTTCAAATACTGGACAGAGGAAACAACAAGAATGCTAGAGAATATTTAGAAGCCTACCTGGTATTCTAGTGAATCATCAATCAATAGATACATCGAGATAGACAAAATTTATCACCTGATAAGAAGGCGACCTCACACACAAAGGTTCAAAGTTCAAGTCAAAGAAACAATCAGTTCCAATACACGTAGCTGCCTAGAAGGTGTGAAAACACACAAAACAACCAATCACGTCCAAGGTCACCGACCAGGAGAGCTGATTAATAAACTCGTGGAAAAATCTAAAAGCTCACTTCAAATCAAATTGAAGTATGCGCTGAAGGAAGATGTCACCTAGTAGAACGGGTAATGAAAGCTTCGTAAATTAACCTTCCAGTTAGCTCAGAGAACCACGCAACCACATCAGTTTGCAGTGTAACCACCACCATGCCACTACTACTAGGTGGACTAGCCCCATTACGATGCTTTCTGAATTGTTGTCATTAGATGACTGGAGATGTAATCGACAGGAAGCCGCCGCCTCTGGACCCTCTAGGTCTCATTCTTGTTGGGTGGCACTCACCAGTCAACAAGGTGTATATCTACAACCATAAAGGTACTCAACTCCTCTGTCTGAGATTCGAACTCGTGTAACCTAGTGTTGCCAACAAAGTTAGAGACTCACGTTACACTCCCGAGCTATTCAGACTGGCGAATGATCACCTATGGGAGACTGTGTAGAGGATACTTTGATTGAACACAACACATATAATTTCAGTTACTAACTGGTGTCCAATGAAAATATCCAATAAAGTCCCAAAAAGAAGTCAATCACAAGTCCGAATAGTTTAGTAGTAACATCTCTGACTGTATCTCAGGGGGAGTGGACAAAAGTTCCTTAAAGATTTGTAGACACAACTTTCTGACTACTGGTGACTGCCAACAAGCACCAAACCTAGATCAGGTAAAGCTTCTTGAAGACTTCCTCCGACCATCCAACAACTAATACAACTAATTAATAATTCCATTCAAAAAAATAATAAGTAATGAAATTGCATACATATACATAGACATTGCCCAGAATGTTTAAATTACATTTTAATTACCTGAAATCCTTGTTTCCCTTCAACTCGACGAGGAACAAAAGGTCTTAAAGGTTCATCGATGTGAACAGGTTGTCTAAACGAAGATTGTGGTTCTCGTAAACCTGTAAAATATGCAACAGAAAAACGCTATCATTACAAATATATGCAGAGAGAGAGAGAGAGAGCACATTTATGCGTAGAGCAAATTCATCATTTGCAAACGCATCGACAATTTGAAATCTCTACACAGTTTGAGCGGTGAAAATTCCCCACAGTCTCTCATTTCGTACGACCAGTTCGAACAAATAGCTAGCCAGAAATCAAGTGTGGCTTGAACTGAATCCGCTCTCTGAATTAGAGCTGAGTCGAACCGGATACACACCGCTACTGATGAGCTCAGCTCCAAATGTGAAAAATGACCCTCAGGTATTTAGATCCCCCGATCTACCTGGCTGACTAACACTACTGGCTGACATGAAAGCTATGCAGCTACTACTCATCTCCGTCAATCAGTAGTATACAGTTTTATGTATTCATATGTGATAATTAACTTGAAAGATCTCGACCTAGACATCACCGAAACCTTATGGTAATTTGACATTTCACCACTCACAGTGTGATCAGGTTGAAATGGTTGAGAATGTTGATAACGTTCACTTATTGGAAAATTGTGTCAATACTAATGAACGAACTGGTTGATTTTCGATGAAATCTCATCAGTCACGGATAAAAAGAGGCGTGTGTAAGATTTGCTAATTTAAATCATGTTTGGTGTAGACGTGATATCCAACTGGCTATCGGCCAAAGGACGTGTGTACTGTTGAACAGCATTTTGATCCGCACTCCTGCTACCTTTACGGCTGTGTGTGAGACATGAACATTGAAAGTGGGAGATATGAAAAGGCTGGCTAGCTGTCTTTAATCATAGATGTCTCCGTTCTATCTCCCATCTTAGGTGGTAATATAATACAGTCAGTCATATTCAGGTTAGACGTCGAATGTTAGGTAAGGAGGAAAAATCAATCGATAAGGTTGTGAAGCTACACCGAGTGAGACGGCTAGGTTATGAACTATGCGCTTCACCAAATAATTAGTCTGAGGTTCATTACCGACAGACTTCGCTCCGCCAAATGCAAGATGATGTTACAGGACTGGACTACATCGACGCCTAGTTTAAAAATAGGAAGTGAAGTGGTAGAGCACGTTGACCCCTTCTCTTATTTGGGAAGTACCATCAGCCAGTGCCAACGGGCTGATCTCTGACGAAATCTCAGCACGAATACAAGGGGCTCGTTTCGCATTTGCCAGTTTACGCCGACTCTGGCGTAGACGAGATGTTCGACTATCGACCAAAGGGCGGGTGTACTGCTCATCAGTCCGCTCCGTCCTCCTTTATGGCTGTGAGTGAGACCTGGTCACTGAGAGTGGAAGACATGAAAAGACTAGCTGTCTTTGATCATAGATGCCTACACTCTATTTCCCGTGTGAAGTGGCATAATAAGGTGAGCAACATTGAGGTTAGGCTTCGGTCGAGTGCTAGGTAAACAGAGGAAATCAATCGACGAAGTCGTGAAGCTACAAAGACTGAGATGGTTAGGACATGTGTTACGTATGCCAAGCCATCGCCTCCCTCGACGAGCAATGTTAGCGGATATAAGTTCAGACTGGAAAAAAGCTAGCGGCGGTCAAACAAAAACATGGCTTCACCAGTCAATGAAATCCACAACAGTTGGTCTAAGCCACGTAGGAAGGTGTAGACTTCCTGACTGGTTGGGGTCCTCGGGACGGTAAAAATCTATGGTTGGAAACAATTGGTGACATGGTTCAAAATCGTTCTCAGTGATAGCGTAGATGCATCCACTCCTTGTGACTTATGATCTCCAATGAAACTGTTTTGTTTTTCTTTATTACTCCTTTGTCTCACACCTCTGCTCACTGTTTCTATTATGCTTTTCTTGTACTTTCTTCTCTTGCTTCGCGTGCTACACGGAGTGTGGCGACTTGAACTTCCGCACATTTGTGCAAAGTTCTATGTCGAAAACAGACAGACAGAGTCATTGGGGAACGGATCTCAGTGGCTCAATAGCGTACGACGTCGCCTTGTAACTGTAAGGCCCTGAATCCAAACCGCGGTCGGTGAGTGTACTGATGAGGAGTACTAAATTAGGACGCAAACAGCTGCCAAGTATTCCCAGGTTTCTCAGTGGCGGTTCTCTAACTGATGTCATCCAGCTGATGATCACACACACACACACACCTGTAACCACCACAAATCGAATCCCTACAAACCAACACATGATAGTGATTGTACGCCAATATTTGTTCTAAAACGGTAAGTGTGACACTATACAGGTCGACTAAGCTGCAATAAGGCAGAGTGAGTGAATGAGTGAATGTAACACCAATTCATACCACTTCTCTAATGATCATTTACTATAATATAAAACAAAACCAATGCCACAACAATACCACTGCTTACTACTCACCATAATCGTCCATATCCAAAACATCTGACTCCATACGCCTCGGTGGCATTTGCGGTCTAACATCATGAGTTGGGAACTATGCATTAGGAGATAGGAGAAATAAAACAAAACCGGTCAGATAGACAGACAGCTGTTTTGCACATGAAAATTCAAAAAGATTTTATCATCATTTTTCAACAAGACAATTTCGTCACAAAATCTACCTGAAACTTCGGTATCCCTTCAGAACGACGTAAAGGACGATGAATTGCAGCACTTTGTGGTTCACTTGGATCTGAAAAGTGGGCAAACAGATAACAGAGTTTACATGTATCATTATAATGTACATTATTTGAGTCATTAATATTACAACTTACATGTAATTCACTAAAAGTGTACTTCTCTCCTCATTAAACCTGCATAAATCAATCTGGCTGGTCAACGGGAATTCCTCACTACTAGGTTTTGTCTTATAGTTAAAAATCACTGCAATACAATACACTTAACAGCACAGATGAATTTCATTAGATCACACTAAGGCAGGTCTTCTATGAGTTCGAGAACAGCTTGGTTCATACAAGGTGGAGGAGGGGGTATTAAATGCATAAAAAGCTCGATTCTGTCACACGCGGTCGACACTGGACATCGTATCGACGCTAACACAGCCTTTAGGGTTATATACTAAATTCCGAAATCGTTATCACGTACATTCACTTGCGTCTCCCCAACTGAAGATATTGCAATAAGATCGACTAAACGGAAACTTTTTTCCCAAAAAGAACAAGTCCAGACCCTGTTCTTACCGTGACCAAACTCAGATTAATGTTACTTCTTCGCACAAACAACGCCTCTTCCCCTAATCCCTCTTGGTCTTGCACGCCTGCAGGGAGTAATAGACAGTTCTTTCGCTCTAATCTTCTGGGATTAATCGTCGACAGGATGCACCCACTGGAGTTCGAACAAAGGACCTTCTGGTTACAAAGCCAACGAGATCGTAGAATATTAAGTCACTGGGATCCATTTCAATGGCCCACAAATTTTAACTTCTGCCAATTCATGACAAAGCGCATTGTCTTTTTCGATGAGTTACTGCCCTGACCTTCAAATATGCTGCGGCCTACTGGTCACGGCTTCCCATTAGAACTTCAGGTTAACTGCCTGAATAGGGCCAGTCGATAGTGGGCATCAGATTAATTTTCAAGTATTGGTTCTGTAGGGATTCTGTTTGATCGGTTGGAGGATTTCATCATGAGCGGACATCAGTTGGAGAACCACTGGAAAATCTGCAATGGAGTACGGGATAGCTGTTTCGTCCTAGTTTGGGACTCTTCATCAGTACGCACCACCGGGTTACAAATACACCTCTCTTACTGATGGTGAGTGCCAACTAGCACGAAACCTAGGTCCAAGGCTGCCTTCCAATTGCCTCTGATCATCTCAATATATGCCTCCACCTGTTTCATTTCACATATTAATTATTTCATGATGAACTTGTCATTGCAGTCTTACTATCTCCGCCTATTTAATACATACCACTTTGTACTAGCCACTCACGTCACAGCTTTTATAATCTAGAACTGACTGGTTAATTTTTCCTACACCATACTCTACGAATCTATTATGACGATTGTGTCCAACATTGTCACCCATTTCACAATATTTTGTAACTGAATTCAGCACAGCACATTTGTCACACAAACTAATCTGTTATTCTACGCAAAAAACCGTATCCACCGCCGCCGCCGCCGCAAATATGTAGGAGAAAATGGAGATGGAACGATCGGGAAAACATTGAGGAGGCGGCTATCGAATGAAATCACACGCCAACCAGGCCATCGCTCGAGTGGAATCCCAATGGGAAGCGACAAGTGGGTCGTCAGTGAGTGCAAGCATGACATGGAAGAGAGACCATTTGGGGCGGAGGAGGACATAAGAGATTATAGGCAATAGTGGAGCAAGCCAGCTGAAAAGACACCAGAGAACAAGTGGAAATGTGTTGTTGAAGCCCAATGGCCCCACTCGGAACCCAACGAATTAATAATATGTGGGGGCAAATTCTGATTGGTTCATTTTCAGACTTGATATCAACCAAATAGAGGTCAGCTTGACCCAGGCTATATATTTCTTTCGTTTTACTTTTTTCAAACTAAACACCAAATGAAACAGAGACATGATAAAATTAAAATTAGATATTAGATGCAAAAATTACTTACTAAAACTGTCCATTTCTAGATCACCTGCATCGTGTAAACTTGATCTTGACGGCATTAATGGCTTGACTTCATGAGTGGGGAACTGAAAAGCAGCAGCAGAAACAACAACAACAGAAGATAATCAAAGTAGCATTAACTATCGAATTAAAAATTCATCTAGTCATCTGTTTTTTTTTCACTAAATAATACATGATGACTACAGGGAAGATTAGCCAGCGTTCATTACTCTCAAGTCTGTGTGGAGGTCAACAGCACTGCTCAGCATGAAAAATAAGATCCAGATTTTCGACTCCATTGTGAAGTCAGCGCTACTTGCTATACGGATCAGAGACTTGGTCAGTGCGTCATGAAGAGCACCTCAAACAAACTATAGACCTTCATCAATGAATACCTGTCTTTGCTCAATACTACTCAAGATCAGATGACCGGCCAGCAAAGATCAGCAAAAGAGAGGGATCTCTGGGAGCGAACCAACCAGGAACCGATTATGCACCAAATAAGCAGAAAGAAATGGAGGTGGATTGGTGGCCATACTCTGAGGAAACAAACCATCACAAAGTGACATCACTAGAAAGCCATCACTCGAGTGGAACCCGAAAGGGAAGCGGCCAGTTGGTCGTCAGTTTAAGAGTGACTTGAAGGAGATCATGTGAAGAGGAGATGAAAGCATGTGGGCAGTCGTGGAGCCAGGTGAACATACTGGCAGAAGAAGCAGTGAAGACAGGACTTTAAGTGAACATAAAGGAGACAGACAGATGTGAGGAAGATACCTAACCGACAACAACAAGCGCCAATCACAATCAATGTGGAAATTTTGAAAGAGGTCACTTCCTTCACTTATCTAGGCATCAACATCATCATCATCATTACAACTACAGGCAGCACAGATGAGGGCGTCAAAGACAGGCCTTTATTGTTTTGTAATCAATGACTGACTAACTGATTGATTTCAACACACAACTTTGCACCAATGTGCAGCAGTTTGAGTCGCCACACTCACTCCATGTAGCACACAAAGCAAGAGAAAAAGTAAAAAGAAATGCAAAATAGAGACAGTACATAGAGACATGAAGCAAAAAGATTAGTGAAATAGTGGAACCATATAGTTTTGTTGGGTATTATAAGTTCACAAGGTGGGACGCGTATACACCGGTGAGAACGATTTTGAGGTATATCACCAATTGTCTCCAGCTTTCATTGGTTCCTACAATCTCGACGACCCCAACCCGGAGGTCTACACCCCCACTACGTGGCTGACTGGCTTAAACTAACTCTTTTGAATTTATTTAATTGACTGATGAAGCCATGTTTCGGTTTGACCACTACCACACTAGGCCTTTTCCAACCTGACCCATCTTATGTCAGCTAACATTGTCCGTCATCGAGGAAGGCAATGGCTAGGCATAAGCACCACCTATCTCAGTTGATGTAACTTCACAAACTCGTCGATTTATTTCCTCTTCCACCTACCTAGTACTCAACGAAGCCTAATCTCAATTTGCTCACCTTATTATACCACCCAACATACACGGGAGATAGAATACAGGCACCTATGATCAAAGACAGCTAGCCAGCCTAAACATGTCTTCCACTCTCAATGACCAAGTCTCACAGCCATCTTTATGGAGGATATCCTTTAGTCGTTAGCCGGATATCACGTCTACTCCAGAGACGGTTTAAACTGGCATATGCGAAACTAGCCTCCTCTATCCGTGCTGAGATTTCGTCAGCGATCAACCCGTTGGTGTTGGTTGATGCACCTTCCCAAATAAGTGAAGTGGTCAACGTGCTCTACCAATTCCCTCCCCATTTCTAAGCTAGGAGTCAATGTAATCCAGTCAGTCCTGTAGTATCATTTGTAATCAGTGCGGAATTCTACTACACTCGGAGTCAAAATCCAAATCTTCAACACTTATGTGTCAAGTCAGTACTTCTCTGTACGGCTTCAGTCAGAAACTTGGAGTGTCACGACGCGAATATCTGACAAGTTACAGCAGACCTCCATCACAGTTGGCAACACTCCATACTTAAGATTAAATGGTAAGAACGGAAAAACAACAAGGAGCTCCTGCAGGTGACGAACCAACCAAGAACCTATTGACCAACAAATACGCTAATGAGAAACCGGAGATGGATAAGATACACATGGTGTGAGGGGACCGTCGGGGAAGTAGTGTAAGCTTATGGAGTTACCATGAAGCTTTATATCCCTGACTCGGAACCCTCAAGAGAACCAATTATGAATAATAACAACAATAATAATTACCTGAAATCTTTGCTTTTCCTCAGAGTGATGATGCTGCGCAGCAGCTGGAAGTGGTAGTCTTTCTAAAGACTCGTCCATCTGACTTGGTCTTCTTGCTAGTGATGATCGTGACTGACTTGGACCTGTAAATTCAACGTCAAAATAAGTGGAATTAAGTATATACTGACCATGGGAAGCAAGCAAGTCTTTTCAGGTAGATTATGCAATATGAACAAAATTTTGTCTAAAAAATTGTTAGAGAAGCAATGACTAACAGACAGACAGACGGAGGCCATTAAACATATATTACAAGGATACTTCAAATCATTCGCCCAATGCAACTGTGAAGGCTCCAATTAATGATCACATCACTATACACCAGTTACACGCATTAACCACTACACCTTACTTAGAAAGATAATACTCCCTGGTTTTCTATGCTTCATGGTGATGTGATCTGTTGACTTGAGCACACGCGTTTCAGACAATAGCACCTCGGGTCGATATTCACTTCATTTAATTCAGCTGAACCAATTAGGTAGCATATATCATTAATCTTCACATGATGAGTACGGCTCACAGCTGCGTACTAACTAACCAACTAACTGATGCCTTCATCAGCAGTGATTATTCAAATTCACTATTATTAACATTTGTAATCATTAAATATATTACAATATTACACTAACTGGTAACTTCCATACAACAAGACATGTGAACACTGATCAAACCCAATAAAAACACTAATGCGTAAGAATAACGTTCTTTTTATTCCCTGTGCGCGAGTGGAATACAAGACTTTATGTTTCAGCACTGAAGTTTCAATAAAGATGGTACTGCTGCTTTTTTATGCGGTGATATTTTTAACGCTAACGCTCAACCTCTCTGCTTTCTCCGTCCTACTATATCGGCTAGTAAACTAGGAGAGGTTCAACAGTGCATCGTCGATGAACGACGACATTGTTGATCCAGACAACGTAGTTCCCACTATTCACCAAAGTCACGAACTACTTTTATTCAATGGTCAAATATACCAACAGAAAGATGGAGCAACCATGGAATCTCCACTTGGTTCATTACTCGCCGATTGCTTCATGGCGTACCTTGAGTGATAAGCCCCGGCACAATCAACAGTCAATCGTTTTAAGGTTTATAAGCGATACATCGATGCAAATACGCATCTTTCTTGGAAATTGTTAACAAGCCTGATAGATCGAATGAATTGAAAACTGAAGCGGAATGCGAAGGCAAGTTATCCTTCCAAGATGTGCAGCTTCCAAGACCATAAGATGGAAGTCTACAAAGATTGATCTACCATAATCCAAATAGAATGGACAGCTGACAAACTTCCACCGTTTTGTTCAAATAAGCAGAAAAATAAATCTCATCGTATCTCCACTTGCAACGAGAATCTACCACATGTGCAAAGAAGGAATTGAAAACCTTCACAGAAACACTCTGGTCAAGAATGGATAACCAGCCTCCTTCATCAACAAATATCTAAACAAGAGAAAAATCAATATTCCGTGAAACCTTGATGTGCCGAAGAAATAACTAAATGTCTGTCTAGAATTAAAAGCAGATACAATTAGTGAAATTCTCCGAAGACACCTGCCGACAGAAATTCGAAGAATGCTCATTACCGTATTTTCTTTAAACACGATTTTATTCACCTAAATGTCAAAAACAAGATCTCGCTGTCGACAACTTGAGTGTGTATTCACCAATACTTACTTGCTCCCGCGGAACTAAATACACAGACCGTGCCAGCAGGACATCGTCTAGACATGCGCTTATGAAGACTTACCAGCATGGTTGTCAAAAGAACGTGGAACCGTCAACAGTTCAATTCTGAAGCACAATATTATTACTTTTAGTCCGAAGTATCAGCACAGTCATATATAACAGTCACATATAAACCGCCTAAATAGATAGCTGCACAGCTCTGAAGTGAAGATACGAAAAGAGTTCACTTTGCTGACTTTCATATTCCTAACTAAATGAAATGAGAATTTCTCATACATATCTGTAGTCCTGTGGGTTGAAGGTTCAACTGTAGAATATTTGTCAGCCACGCCTCACTTGGTCCATGGTCTGATTCCTAGTTGCCAACGTCCACAACCTTCACCTTACCTGCCTTAGCCGGTTATAAGCACCGACAAAGAGGGGAGGTTGGTTGATAGGTGGTAGAGGCATGACTGAGACTAGCAACCTCAATCTCATAAAAAACCGAGATAAACACCATTTCTAATGGAACTTCAGAACTAAAACCTGAAGCTCTATGTTCCACTCAAGGAAAGCTAAGGATTACAATAATAATAATAATAATAATAATAGTAATTCTGTAGTTCTGAAAGGACTGAGAGTCAGACGCAAGCGCACTGTAGTCGTAGACAACTCGTGTCACAATTAACCACCACCACCTCCTCCTGTAAAACAACTCTATAATGGTCATAGAAATAGAAAATAATAAAAATAAAAAACAAAATCTTAATGTCCACTTAATCCATGTATCAGGAGAATCCGTTTGTCCTACGAATGGTTTAAATGAACCAAAACGACGAGCATGATCTGGATTTCTCTGGAGAAAAAAAAACAGAAAGGGAAGGTGAAAACAGCGAAAATAATGAAACGTAAATATTGTACAAGTGCACAACATTCGACGTCTAACGTGAACATCATTCACCCTGTTATATTACCACGTAAGATGGGAGATAGAACGAAAACATCTATGATTAAAGACAGCTAGTCAGCCTTTTCATATCTCCCACTTTCAATGGTCATGTCTCACACACAGCCGTAAAGGAGGGGAAGGAGTAAACTGCTGTTGAGCCAGTACACACGTCCTTTGGTCGATAGACAGTTGAATATTACGGATACACCAGAGATGATGTAGATTAGCAAATCTTACACAGACCTTTTCATATTCGTGCTGAGATCGAGGGGAGTGAAACGACTATCCTGTGGTGTAGTCGTTACGATCTGGCTGGCTGACAAGTACTACAGTTTTCTAGGGCGAGTACAGACAGTGTTATGCATTTACGGTTGGCTTCAAGATTAGTATCTATGGCATAACACAGATTACATATCGTGTGTGTGTGATCCGCATAATCTCGATTTTCCGAGGAAACAGAAGCGAAATTTCGTCTCCTCGAACTGTGAAAACTGAATTCCATATTAGTTTGTTTATTGGATGTATCACACAGTGAGTGAAACAGTATTATTTACTGAATGACAAGGTTCCGAATAAAATCTATTGTTCATAATCATTTCATCAATTATAATCACACGACTTTGAAACTTGAGTTTTATAGTTTTCTTTGTCCTCTCCTATTTGTCGTCGTAGGGTTACTAGGATTTTCCAGATATCCGCCTGGACAAATGTTGAACCATTCCTATTACACGTATTCTCTTTCAGTTGATTCGATAAACAAAGCTTCTGTTATCAATCTCTCCTCCCTACACCCTCTGACATTAGATTTAAAGACTGTTATCCTATCCCATCCAGCCTACTGTATGGTTGTGTGTAACTGCATGCAGTGAGTGGTATGGCTGAACTATTCTCTAGATTTCTTATCTTCTTCGGGTCAACCAATTTAGATTTTGCTTCCCCTGTTCTACTAGTTTGACCTATGTATTTGACTTGACAATCATTCCAGCAGAGTATAAGTTAAACTAAACTGTTTTGTTTTAAAGGCTCCACTGTCAGGATTGATCCGTTAACCGACAAAGTTTGTTTCTCATTGAGTTTGTGGTTGGTTTGAATGCCAGCCACTTTTATTACTGCCTTGTTGAGAATTCTGCGTAAGGCGGTTTCCGAGGTTCCTTCCTTGTATGGAATCACTACTGATGATTTAGATTCCTTATGGTTGGTGTTGTCTTGCGCATGCTTGACTTGCATGTCGTCATGCAGTTACACACACCCACACAATAGGATGGGATAGGGTGACAGTTTTCAAATCTAGTGTCAAAAAGTGGAGGGAGAGATTGATAACAGAAGCTTTGTTTATCGAACCAACTGCAAATATATGTAATAGGGATGCTTCAACACCTGTTCAGCCAGATATCTAGAAAATTCTACTACCACGCCTACGAAGACAAATAGGAGAGGACAAAGAAAACTATAAAACTCAAGTTTCGAAGTTGTGTGATTATAATTGATGAAATGATTATGAACAATAGATTTTGTTCGAAAGGCGTCTTCATCCCGTAAATAATACTGTTTCACTCACTGTGTGATACATCTAATAAACAAACTAATATGGAATCACTTACTACCATAGAGCCCAAGCTTTACACATATATTAATGTAAAAACTGAAATTATGGATTATCGCAAAAACGATAAAAATAATATAGTCAGTAATTGCGCCTACCGCTCAAACGTATGAAAGAGTATGAACTTGTGACCTATTGACAAAAAGCCAACAAGAGAGGTCAGTCAATGAACTGAATCTCTCTAATGTAGCTATTATAATCATAACAATGATGTAACTTAGTGCCATCTGTCTAGTGCTTTGTTTGTCTGCTGCAGACTGAATTCTCCCTCAGTCGAGTTTGCAATGTGACGACACCAACAACAACCAAGCCATCATGGTCCACTCTGAATCCTTGGTATTAGATGATGGTTGGAGGCAGTGAGCAGTAGGTCAATCGCTAGCCCAAATAGCTCAGTGGTGTAACGTGTTTCTGACTGTAGGGGCAGCACTGAGTGACGCGCGAGTTCGAATCTCCAACCGGGGAGGTCATGAGTTCCTTTAAGGTTGCGGATACACTTCCTCGTTGACTGGTGGGCACCAACAAACACGAAGCCTGACAACTGCCGCTAACCACCAAATAACAATTATTCTGAATCTTATCTTTTCGTTTGATTACTGTGCTTACGAAGCATTCGAAACTGTGTGATACTATTCGACTGCTGAAATCGAAGAGACGAATGCTTACATCACCCCTCCCTGACTGTATGCACACTAGTGCAAGTCAGTGTATGCGGAGGAGGGTTTTGAGCCCATAGACTCCTCAAACTATTGAGTCGCAACTTCCAATAATGTGACGTACCCAGATGTACCCGGCAGTACGTTCCATAAGCTATTCAGGCCACAAAAAAGGAAGGGGCGGGAAACGAACTCGAACCGCCCCCCTCACCTTGATTAAGCGACAAGAGAGCTTAATCCAATCAGCATCACCACCATCACCATCACGACAACTGTCTTCATAAGCGAGAAGTGGAGGGGAGAATGTGCGCACACAACATGTCAGACAATGTGTGCAATACATCTTCACTAAATGTATCTTTGAACAAATATAGCAAAAAAAGAGAATCTCTCAGTATATTTTCAAACACACCCGCCCCTTTAGGAAAACATGAATGAGCGTGATGATGAATGCACTTCATTATTATTATTATTACTGATAAATGGATTTAGAAAGTGCATTCTTTGTAGGAAAGAGAAAAAGTTACCTGTTCCATCATATCGTCACAGAAGTTTCCCTCGTTATAATTAGGATGTGTATTACTAAGTTCAAATCGTGACATTGACATTGATCGACCGCTATGAGGCGGTGGTGGTGGATGTTGTTGCTGCGATGAACCTAAATGGTTAAGTGGATATATGTATACATATACAGAGGAAATAAAACTCTTTGTAATTCAATATATGACGATATATACAAGCAGGCATACTGAAAAATCAATCATATATGCCTTTATATATACATACATATAGTATATAAAAAACCATAGGCTTTCTAGCCTCGAAGTTGCTGATGATACAACTGCCAGTCAGATTGTGGGACAAGATTCAAACCCGAGACTCAGTCACTGACGGAAAACCAACGGTAAGTAAGCACCAGTGAGCCACGGCTCCACTTTATTTTTTCAAATACTTTTTATTCCTCGAGTGGAACATAGAGGGTTCCTAGCCTCAGTCATGCCATCCAACCTTCTATCTATGTTGTCGGGGCTTACAACCGCCTAAAGGAGGTGTGTATGGGGTGAAAGTGTGTGTGTGTGTGTTGGTGGCCAGGAATCGAACTCCACACCACGTGAAGCGTGGTTGGCGACGACGCACAGCTTCACTGTTTGTGCACAGTTAAAACACATCAGAAGAGGTGATTTACACAACGCGGTAATATCACGCAAATGAAATGTGCACAAGTCACCTGATGACATGTGACCAAGTGAAAAATATATAACTCACTATTAAGAGGTCTAACACTACCATTGTTGTAGAACACGCAACATGGTGTGAACACATGGTATTTCATGAACAGTAGAAAAATAAAATGACATCATACTTCAACTGGTCGAAAACCAACCAATCAATATTAACCAACAACCGATTACAATCCTAAACAGTTGGCGATCAGCGACATACGCCTATTGCATGAGGTGTGCTCATACTACTCGAGACTACCCAAACACCTCAGTGTGTGCAGCGGGAGGATTCCAACACGTGACATCCACCTGCTGTTGGAAGTCCAGCCTCTAGATCAATGGGCCACAGCACACATTTAACCGATATTTCCTACTTAGTAAGAACTGATGAGCAGAAAACTTTGCTTCATCAAAGTTTCGTAGTTGCTGCTACTCCTCAACAGAAGGACCTGTTTGCAACTTCATTCAAGAGAGGGGCAAATTTGAAATTGAAAGAAGTCAATCCTCTTCACCACACAATGCACATAACACGTGGTGGGGATAAGTTTGAGCAAGTAAATTAGAGTAACTGAATCGAGATTACTAGTTGACTAGCCGAATTTATATGAATAAAGTTAATCAGCTAAACTTCTCAACCGTTAGACTTTCATCATAAACCAACCAACAGCTGTTCCGCCCTAGTGCTTGGGACTCTTCAGCAACGCGCATCCATTACCTCGCAAGGGACATTCAGACTACCAGATCAAGCTCCTTGACGACCATTCAGTCACACTTGGTCTGGCATTCGATGATGTCTGAATTCTAATTCTGTCAACTGGCAATGTAGTTAGTGTGAGGGCTGAGACAATGCACAGGCGCCCAGGCCGAAGCAGATGGTTGTCTTAAGGGACACCTCTCCCCCTCCCACCGAGGCTGACTTGAAGTCTCATCCGCAAGACTGCGGGACAGAGTCAGCAGGAGCTACATTCCTATATTTGCCAGTGTCTAATACAGGTTCGACCCGTTTGGATTCTGATGTCCATGTACCAAACCCACATAGTAACCGCTTTCAGAGTCTAACCTCTATGCAAAAAACAACCTTCTTGACATAGTAGAACCCGCAGGAGAATATAAGTCCCAGACAGTGTAACTTTTTGGGTCACTGTGGTGGTATGGCAAACCAGACTCGGAATACTAAGCTTCCCCCACCACAATGCCTACGGCGAGCACATCCAGTTGTTCATCACCTACTTTGACATGGTGGACCTTACTGAAATTATTTCCAAAATACCATTTAAAAAAAATTAACTATCAATTGTGCGTCAGTACTACTCACCTCCATGAGCTGGAGACGCCGAATGTAGAACAGGCGGTCGACTATTCATCTGTTTAAA